GAGTATGTAACACTATGTATCTTTAAAATTGATTTGTAAATCCATTATATGTATCATGTTAAGCGCATAGAGCATTGCATAAGTGGATATGCGCTATATAAATGCAATCCATTATTATTATTATTATAGCTTACAATTTCCAAGCTTTTCATGATTCCTGATAGAAATAAATCAACAAAAACTAGAATCTAGTTTTTAGTCTCTGGTGAAAAAAGTACAATACCCAAACGGACTTAAGTGGATATGGACACCGACGATATGCTTGTGAAGGAGCGGGTGTTGGGTATTGCAGGGTGAGGTGGTGGATAAGAATGCTGTGAAATTGTGATATTATGTCTGGGTAAGAAAAGGACACATAAGAAAGGAGAAAGATACCACGATGCATACATGCATTCAACATTTATTGGTCTCTCACATACAATGTTCAAATTCACATAACTTGAATAGCAGTTGTCTGTACATCAATTAATAACTGTAATCATTATAATAACCAAGAATGACAACTCAAACAAAAAATGAACCAGTTCACATTTACATTTCTAAACACAAGTTACCCCCAAACGGAACAGCATTACGTATCAAATAATGCCCGTTGTTCAATAACATTGACACTCGGTTAGTTTAGTAAGTGTTGTACTGCACTTGCAACACTCTAAGGTCATAGAAGTGCCGAAGATTAGAGGTGTTACAACGGAGTAACAAACACAAAAGAGAAGTAGGAGAGATAAGGACGATAGATGTTTGATAGGAAAGAAGGAGCAAACCACACCAGAGCATCCGCCAACAACCCACATTGACACTCTGAACCTGCAAAAACGCCAATTTATCCATCACAATAACAGTTCTCTGGTGGTAAAATACTTCATAGTTTCTGCTTAGATACTACATGAAAGTTTATCTTTTAATCAAATAAACCACATAGTCATCGACACAAATTACAGAGAAGCCATTATTCTTTCTGTAAATATAATTTCACACGATCTCTTGTACTCAGATGCATGTGTGTGTATGCGTGTGTGTGCGTGCGCGCGGGTGAGTGCTTGCATTTTCGTGAGAGTAAGAGGGATGAGGAGTGGGAGAAAGACAAATCAGACAGCACACGCCCTCTTTCCTGTCATCATAAATATTCCTCCCTCCCTCCTCCAACCCCCCTCACTTCAATTAGAGTATAACACGGATAGGTTGAACACAGAAAACTCGAAATCAAGCATCCATCAAACTGTACCAGCTTTCCCGGATTTTTTTCTTTTCTTCATCTTTGTAAGATATCCCTCGAACTACGGATCTCTCGAACTACTGAGGCCAGTCCTGGCGAATTCGAGCTATCCATGTTACTGTATATTGTGCTTAGGTCCTACCCACTCAGGTCTCTACTTGACTGAAAGACAAACATATTCCCACAAATATTTGAAAGAAGTGACAGACAGAATAAACACACCACGATAGCAGCAGGCGACAACTTTACAAAATAGGCAGACAAGACAAAAATGCTGAGAACCCAGCAGCACCTTCAGGCTCCACACTCTCATACCTCTCTAAAAGGGCCTTTTACTCCGTAACTCATCCACAACATACTAAACCAATCCAAGCCCCCTAAAAAGTAGTTTATGTACACACTCTGACTGTATTATCAATTTGTATACTTCATATCCAGGTTTCAGAAGAAGTTTATATATACACAATCTAACTGTAGTATCAATTTGTATACTTCAAATCCATGTTTCACAAGTCCGTCACTTGGGCTTGGATGAAAGAAACATTATTTACAGTAAAAATTTGGTGCCCACGCCTCATAGATAGTACCAACAAATGGGTACCACAAAACGCATAGTATAATTTGGTAACAAATGAAAGCCTGTTGCTCTCATTACCTTTTCCCTATTTACAGTACCTAACTTTTCCTCTTAGTAGGGGGAAAAAAAGAAGGGAGGGAATTTAAAGCATTGTATGTTATGAACTACACTAGTCATGATCGCACTTGGGGTTCATCGCAAATTGGAAGTCAGTGGTCAGTCAAGTCACCCAAAAGGAAAAAGATACTAAGTAAGAGCACATCCGCAAAACACACTACGGTGTGTAGGGACGGACAGCACAGATTATGATCTCTTTAAGTGACACAATATGCCCCATCCCCTCTTGAAATTCTTTCATACATATAAAAAACACAGAAGGGAGTCACGGGAGTGTGAATTTTTAGTTGTTCTTATTGAAGATTCCTTGCTATGCCAGACATAAGAAGTCCAATTTGCAGGATTTTCAGAGGGTAATTTTGTAAACAAAAGGAAATTTCAACAACACATAGCCATTGCGCGTGAACAGTCAAAATTTACCAGTAAAAAAGTTCCATTCCTTTCATTCAGAATTAGGTCTACAGAATTTTCCTTTTAACAACACCCCCCCCCCCCCCCCCCCCCCCCCCCATAAATGACACTGGGACTACCTTCAAGAATTGACAAAGGAATAAAGAGTCACCTCATACAAAAACATATAAGTATATATAAAAAGACATGCATCATCGTCTTGGTGCCTTGTTCGACGAATGTTTGGAATCATTGGATGATAACTGCCTTTTCCTTCGTGGGGGATCTGGCATGCTGGAAAATTTGATGAAAGCAAGAAGAATTCTATATTAGGTATGCTGTCAGAAACTGTATCCAGTCTCAGCAAAAAAACCAAAAAAGGCTTGGCTAAGAAAATGCTCGTTTTCTTTTTTGCCACAGCCCTATTTTATAAATATGAAAATAAACAGAAAGAAATAGGGCGGGCCCCAGTTATAACAGGACTGCAGGGACCAACATGATGTTTCCGTTATCGTTGAATCCTGTTATGGACGGGAATCAAGTTAACATACACAGTAACTAATAATTTGTTGTAAAGCGCATAGAGCATGCTCTTGAGCATGGATATGCGCTATATAAATGCAATTATTATTATTAATTAATGAATAAACCGTTTTAAATTTAAAAATCATGGATGACTCACTGCCACTTGATCAGTTATTGTTCCTTTCCTTTCCAGTGAATTTTGTCTGTGCCTCGTGTTTATCTTTCTTTTTCTAGTATTTCAGTCTCATCATTTGAGATGCATTAATAATAGGGTGACTTTATTTAGGCCACATATGGCCTAAATAAGCTAAACCCCCCTCCTTTACCTTATTTAGGCCACATGTGGCCTAAATAAGCTAAACCCCCCTCCCTTACCTTATTTAGGCCACACCTTTATACAAAGTCACAGAAATATTCCTTTTGTGCTTATTGAGGTACAGTGCAGGGTGATTTTACCTGCAAGGATAATTGGACAAAATGGGCAAAATCTTTATTGCTAATGGTCATATTTAGACAAATCCTATATCATTGTCTTTTTTTTTTCTTAACTGCTCATGGTTATTAAAGAGTAAGCCAACTAGGTAGTAATTTCGGATTCCTAATACTAATATTATGGGCATTCTTAAAATGTTTTAACTTGTTTTTAGCGCTTTTCTCAACGTAAAACGGATCCGTAAAAAAACCAATGACCTTATCTTTCTTTTTCAAAGTAGTGTGCATATATTTGTGTGAAACTATATATTCTATGCTTTCATGTACATGAAAAAAGCTAATAAAGGCAAGAAAAATGTTCTTCAGAGACATAGATCTAGTAGTAGGCCCACTGAATTTTTTTTATAAACCAGGAAAGATGACCAGAAAATAACAAAATTATTTTATGATCTTCACTTGCACTTGCAATTTTTTTGATAAATTATAGTCTACCTCATTGTCTTTTTTTTCCATCATTTTTCTTCACTATTCATGACAACTGGCATGTATTGTTTTCAGTTATTATCAAGAAAGTGGATAGGCAGACTACGGGGTCTATCTAGCCAAAAGGATAGGTGGACCGCGGGGTCTACCTAACAAAATGCTAGGATTTAGGATGTGAACCCCGGAGTGAGCGTAGTGAAATAAGTAGTAGATCTAGGTTTAACTAAGGATCGGTGGACCCCGGGGTCAACATAGTGAAATAAGTAGATCTCATTTTATTTTATAGTAGGACTGGCGGAGCCCTTGGTCAACGTAGTGAAATTATAAGTAGATATAGGTTTAATTAAGGATTGGTGGACCCCGGGGTCAATGTAGTGAAATCAGTAGATCTAGGTTTAATTAAGGATTGGTGGACCCTGGGGTCAATGTAGTGAAATAAGTACATGTAGATCTAGGTTTAATTTTAAGGATTGGTGGACCCTGGAGTCAACGTAGTGAAATAGGTAGGTTTAAGGTGGACCCCAGGGTCTACCTAACGAAATGCTAGTTAGGTTTTTAGAATAGGTGGAACCTGCGGTCACCGTAGTAAAATAAGTAGGTTTAATCTAGGTGTCCCGGGGGTCCACCAATCCTTAATTAAACCTTCTTATTCCTCTACAGCTATGGTGACTCCGGGGTCCACCAATCCTTTTAAAATTATCCCTACTTATTTCACTACGCTGACCCCGGGGTCCACCAATCTTTAAAGAAACATACTTATTTCACTACGGGGACCCCGGGGTCCACCTGTCGTAAAACCTAGTATTTCGCTAGGTAGACCCCGGGGTCCACCTTAAACCTGCTTATTTATCACTACGTTGACCCCGGGGTCCACCAATCCTTACTTAAACCAAACCTTATTTCACTACGGTGACTCCGGGGTTCACATCCTAAAACCTAGTATTTCACTTTGCAGACCCCGGAGTCCACCTATCCTCTTCAGGACTAAACTATTATCAATTTGCAATTTTCATTGATTAGCATATTTGTTTTTAAATATTGAATCAGAGACTCACTGTCTAAAAAGTCCACTGCTAATGCTATTCTTTTCAAAGAAAATGGCACAATTTGATTTTATGACATGTTGAAAAAAAAGAGTTTTAAAAATATCCCGAAAACAACATAAAATGATTATATAGATCTCTCTCTCTCTCTCTCTCTCTTTCTATATATATATATATATATATATATTTTAAAAAATTTTAAAATAAATATATATATATATATATATATATATATATATATGTGTGTGTGTGTGTGTATGTGTGTGTGTGTGTATTTTATTATGTATACTAAAAGACTGAGCAGAGGCTTACAATGTAAATTCTGTGCTCTACAAGTAGAGAAAATCATAAGTTTGCGCAAAACAGATTCTAGAAAAAAAGTTGGATCTAATTATTCTAATAAAAGTAAAAGTGATTGTTATGCTGAGATTTGTTATTATTAACTCTGGAAATACAGTTACTTGCTGAATCTAAAAGTAACTAGAACTGTGCAATTCGTTTTATTTCAATTCCAAAGCCCAAAGGCATAGCAATAATAAGTTAGATCTAGATCTAGCAGTTGTAGGCTCTCTGGCTGCTTCTAGCATAGGCCTGCTACTACTGATTCTAGACAGGGAATCTAGATCTTGCTATCGCCTGCACTATTAAAGTCAAATATATGGTAAAATAAAAACAAAACTTAATTTTTTGTCAGTCAGTACATCCCAATTGCCATAGCCGCACGTATTAATAATAGTTGAATAATGCGATACCAAAGCAACACGTTATCACAGTGTGCAGGGGAGAGCGAGGTGCTCGGTCGATTCGGTGGTTCGGCTTTTGTAGATCTATGCATTTTTTACGGAAAGCCCTATTACCTGGCCTATTACTAGATCTATTAGTGTTGTGAAAACTTCAACCTCTACAGCTCAGGCGTCAAAAGATGCTGGAAAATAATAAAACGTCCTGAAGTTTCATAATTTATTTTTATACAGAATAACACAGTACACAGCCAGTAGTTTTTATTTCATCGAGTTAGAAGCAAATTTTAATAGTTCTAGTTCTACCGAATCGATTTTCACGCGAATTCAACCATTTTGATGATCTTTCTTTTCCTTTTAAAAAGATGTAGATCTAGGCCTGTCGGATGTGGCAGTGCGAATAACACTGAGTTGTTTAGATCTAGATCTAGACCCATCAAAACACGAGGCTTCGTGGCCAATCACAAAAGTCTACGGGGCTTATCGAGGCCGATTCGCCTTGCTGCGAGCACGTTCACTAAACAGCCTACTAGATAGAATCTATTGCCAAATATTCTCTACACGATCTTTGCTACTACTACTACTACTAGGCCTACTAGCCTACATGTACTACTACGAGACAGTACGAGAAAGTGTCACTCAGGCAAAGATAGTGTAACTTTGACTCAGCCACGTAGTGTACACATTTTTTATACCCCAAATTTAACCCGGAAGTCCATTCGGAGGATTTGACCTTTTCACTTGACCAAAGTGTGCCAAAATGGTAGCCTAGCTTTTGCCCCTCCATTAAGGAAAAATCTGGCCCTCATTCAAACCATTGGGATTGAGCAAAATTTTGCGTATTGTGCTTTGTTCTTTACAATATTCATTATGGTTATTATTTATAAGTTGTACACTGAGACAAAACCGTACTAAATGAGAAAGGTGCACCATTATGAAAGTGGAACGAACTCAGTTGCCTGAAAAGGGTAGTTTGAGCATGTGTGGCCTAAATAAGCTAAACCCCCCTCCCTTACCTTATTTAGGCCATATGTGGCCTAAATAAGCACTCCCTTAACTCACTTCAGACGGGTCACACAACAGTTGCGTGACCCCCGCCATGACGCTCGCGTCGGGTCTCACAAGCCCTGCGTGACCAACTTTGGAATTTTTTTTTCGCTCTACAAATCACGCACGGATCGCGAGACCCGCCTCGTACCCTTGTTTGGCCAAGCCTGAGCTACTTAGACTTCGTTTCGTATCTCTGGGGCCGGTAGTTTTTAAGTTATTGAAGGTGAAGGACAGTGACCCCAACTGGGGTTGAACAGACCGGAACTCGCGCTTTGTTTTTTTCTATACAGCTCATAGTAATCCGACAGTCGCGTCGTAGTAACGGTCGAAGAAGTCGCATGAACAAGAATCACATAATTTCGCCGTTTTCTATACTTCTGTGCGTTTTATTAGTTCTAGTGTCTCAGAATATGATGTGTCTAATAGTTAAGATCCTGGATATGTACCCGAACACGGCCCGAGTCGTAGTTCTAGGGCTAGATCTAGCACTAGTACCGGTGTTGTTTTTCGCGCAACGAAATCACAACGTCGTGCCGTATATCTGTCTCATGTAATTCAGTGTATGGGTCTGAATCAATGCACAGACCAGCTTTTATATTTTCACCAAACACTTGCACATGTATACAAATCAAACCAGAACACTTTGAACTTTTATTTTTGTTGTTGCAGTGAATTTCATTCTACTTGTCACGTCTCTGGAAATTTTTCGAAAATCAAATTCATGCCAATTTTTAAAAAATCATACAAATTAAAATATTAGACTTAGACAACTTTAGTTTTTTGTATTAGATTAAGCTTGAATGTTACTTTACTGTGTCAAAAAATGAATACAATAGGGTAATTCTGAGAGTTGTGGTGATTTATTGAAATACCCCCCAAAACGCCAGTCTTCAACGCTTGTGGCTGGTGAAAGGGCCCAGTCGCAAGTGAGTTAATAATAATAATGATGATGATTATAATAATAATATTAATAATAATAATAATTTTATTTATATAGCATGTACCCATGCTCTGCAACATACCCTGTGCACTTTAGAATAACTACTCGTAATCAAATAGTCACCACTGTTGGGAAAAGGAACATACATACATGACAAGCATCAGCTGTAGATCTTGGACCCGTGGCTTACTTCTAATTCAATCATTTTATTCTTGTTACCGTGCAAGTGTACAAGTCTCCCACAGGGAGACAATGTAACAAGGTCACGCGAAGTACTGATCATAACATCTGTGTCAACTTTAAAGGGCATTTCCCCCCCCCCCCACACACACACACACACATTATGACACAACATTAAATGTGTACACAATCAACGTAGGCCTATTGCGGGTCATGTAGGTGCAATTTACCTCTTAATTTGCTTTTTTTCTGCTTTCTTGTCCATTTGTTCTAAGATTTTATTGATGGTCAGACCAGTTATACTGAGCATGTTTGTATCAATGTCAGGTTTCAAATAACTTTTTATCCACATATTATATGAGATTACTCAGGGATTTATTGTAAGCCTGCTATAGCCATTTTCCTGTTTTAACCGAGACTGTTATAAGTGGGGCCCACTATACAAATTCACTTTATGTTGTAAAATGTCATTATATTGTCAGTAAATTAACTCAACTACATATGGTTAAAATAATATTAACATAACAATCCTCTTGGTAAAAAAGTAAAAAATATGAATTTCCATCCCAAAACTTTCCTTGTCCACTGGAAGTATCAACTATATCATTGCTTTACACTGTGTATCAATGTTTATTCAGTCCCAAGGGAATCTTATTCTGAGGGTTTCACATTTAAAAAACCCAAACAATTACATAAACAAAAGTGGTCACAGCACTTATATATCTGGAGCAAATGTTTAAAACAAGCCGTATTTCTACAGAATAACACTAGATTGTTGGTATCACACCAGACTGCACTGAGAATGTCTCTTGTGCAATCCCTCAAAGCTTCAGTATTCTTGAACTTAAGTTTAGGAAACCTGACTGCGATGAAATCTGTGTCCACCCAAAACATAGCACAAGAAGTCAGTTTGTTTTGGTTATTCCCTAATTTTGTTCATATATATCCAACCTACCAAGCCTTCAAAGCTACAATTTCTCCTGGGCAGAACTCTGACGGATCAGGAGGTGGGTCATCTGTGAGGTAAGCCGGAATAAATTCTGGTTTTAAACAGTGGATATCCTCCGAGACGAGTTTCTCCAAGTCCTCCTGAGAGGGAAGAAATTAGGGCAGAAATATTAATGACTACTAACAACTTTCTCCTGTTCAATCTTAAACAGTTGAAATTTTTTTTTTTAGATACACAGAAAGTAGGTCCTTGTTTGCAAATGAGACATCCTATATACACATAATTATTGTATGAAATTATAGTGCACTCAATAACTTTACTATTGACAAATAACACATTGACCTTCACAAGAATGTAATGGAAATTGTTCTTTCTGCAACCACTCTCTTAAACTTGAAAAATTGACCAAAACTTACAAATTGTCTAGAGTTAAGGTCTCTTTCAAAATTCAAAACCAAATCAACAGAATGTGATTTCAACTCAGGTGGGACTTCATTTTGTCGCTCATGTAAATGCAGACAAGACAGTACAAAAGGCATTTTCGAAGATAATCTTCTTGTTTGTTTAGTAGAGGTTTTACAGCGCTCGCAACTGCATAAGGTCATATGAGCGCCAGAAGATTAGAGATGTTACAAGACAGTAACAAATATAAAAAAGAAGAAGAGGAGATAAGGACGAAAGATGTTTGATAGGAAAGAAGAAGCAAACCACACCAGAGCATCCGCCAACAGATAATCTTCAACTTACTTACCTGGGATATCTTGACTTTGTTCAACTCAATGAAAACATGGGTGCCATGAACTCTTGAAGGGAATGGAGGCCTGGAAAAATGATGATGATGATGATGATGAATTTGTACCGTACCACAAATTTCCACATGGATCAGCAATGTTTCGTACATTAACCCTCAAACTGAGTTTATATAACTGCCACAATGATGAGCAGAAATAATGAGCAAATTGAGAATGCACACCCACACAAACAAACACACACACACACACACTGACACCTCAGACACAAACACACACATATACCCACTTTCATGAGACAGAGAGAAGTGACGTGAACACTTGCCTGAGAATGGACACATCAGCACCACCTGCAGCTAGCAGACGCTGGAAGTTTTCCTGCTTTGCTCTGTCAAGACACAGGAGAATCTTCCAGCCATGAAAGGCTCCTGTCACCAAACTTTTGCTCTGATGATTGAGAACAAACACAAATAAACCAAAGGACCAAAACATACGTCTTTCAAATAACTGATCACAAAGCTGTAACCCTTTCCTCCTTGTATTCTTTGCTTACAACTGTCAACCCAGTCAAAACTGGGTTACAACTAAATGTCAGTGACCTATTTCTACCATAGCCAAGCCTACAATTGAGGATATCCTGCATGAAAAATTAGTGGTGTTGGCCAGGTAAAACTTTAGAGCTGCATTTTCCACAGGACAGTTTGGCATTAAACAGGAAAAGGTACTTCATGAAAAGAAAGGAATTGACATCTTTGTTATACAGAAGGGATAGCATCCAATGCATTCAAGACAGTCACAGTGAACTCTAAGAAGACAATAAGCTGTGCTGAGGGCAGTGTGCAAAAATTGTATAGAAATAAGTCAGGCTCAATGGTACCTATAGCAAAAGATTTTACAGCAATTTCTATAGAAAAAAAACCCCCTGCTTTCAAGAATAACATAAGCCATCTATATTACGACGATCTTATATCTAAATGTCTTGGCATTTACTTCTAAGCTCTTCACTAAACCTTAATTTCTACTTTATTGAAATTGTTATTATCTACCTTCTTCATAGCAGCAACTTTCTTTCTCCACTTGTGCGCTGCAGCTGCCAGTTTATTGGCTTGTGCCGTCATGTCCTGCATCAATGGAAGGGTGAAACTGCTGCCCCATTCATGGGCTTCTTCCTATGATTAGAAAAGAATAATCAGTAAAAGGTTATTCATGAGATAGGACATACAGTGTAATAGATGGTTGGTAAATAGGGTCTAGCTGTATTTGATGAGAAAGAAATTATTGTGTCTGTGTGAATAATTATATTTAATAATAATATTATATAACATTTATATAGCGCATTTCCAAAAAAGTAGCTCAATGCGCTTTACATTGGAATACCAATTTTTTCAAAACCTTTCTTACTACATGTACTTCCTTTCTTCTCGTGCAATATATATTAATACACACACACACACACACGCACACAGACTATTTTCATCCAGACATAGGAACAGAACAACTATAATGAAAAATAACGTTAAAAGCTTATGAAGGATAGGCCTGTAAGAACAGAAAATGTTTAAGATGTCTTTTGAAGCTATCAAGTGTTTTTATTTGTCTTAGTTTCATGGGTAATCTGTTCCACATAAATGGACCAAGATATGAGAAAGATCTCTCTCCATATGATTTGTATTTTGGGACTACAAGTATTTAGAAGCATGATTATCAAGTCGGCATTTATACCCAAACAGCTGTGCATTCTGAGTATCAGTAATATACTGTAAAAACCTACTGCCCACCCATCAGCATATGTGTCCCGATGCGTTGGAATCAGGCGCTCGTCAATTTTTGGGCATGTGGAGATATTGGTATCATCTGAAAGCCGATTTATTTGCCTTCCTTCTAATGAAATAAATATCCATCTATTCTGAATAGGACTCAAGATATTTGCGATTGAAGAAAGTGAGGTCGCCTGGTTTCAGTGGTTAAATTAGCGAGAAAATGGCCACCAAAGTTCGGTAACTCCAATAGCTAAACAGTCCATGAAAACAGAAAAATGACATATTTTGTGCCTTTAATCAATGTTTTGCAGCAAAATTCACATTGAAATGTGTTTTTATATCGACATAACAGAGGTTTAGCAATTAAACAGAAATTCGATAAAGATTTTTGAACTGGCAGAAAAATGCCAGTTTCTCCGATTTCAGTATATTGATGAGCGCCTGATTTCACCATGCTGCCTCACATATGTATTAGTAATCAGCAAATAGAAAATCAGTCATCTGGCTAAAAAATTCATAATATGACTATGGATCGTCTTCTTCCCTGAGGAGTCAAGGGCAGGGGTTGTAGTCAAGCAAGTATAAAAATAGCGAAAACAAAGGCATGATGAAAAAAGCGGTCTTGAGGGGCTTGTCACTGGTCGAGCTTTAAGAAAAAAGGGTAGAGAAAAGGGGGCAATTGTATTAAGTTTTAAAATAATGATCCATTAAAAAAAACATATATCTCTCATTGGCCTTGCCTGTCACACACAGCACAAAAAGACAGGAATTTGGTAGCACCTTGTCAACCTAATTTTACCTTACTCCTGGATTTAGCACTTCTAAAGTCTAATGTTTTCAAATGTTTTTTCAAGGGCAAAGTGGCACTGAGCGACTGCAAGGGCTCAAGACAAAAAGGATGCTTCAGTTAGGCATCTGTATGTGGCATGTGATGTAGACTGTCCGGGTCTGATAGTTTTCCTCCCCTTATATACCGAGAAGATTGGCAGTAAGTTGGGACAGTCAAAATTTTTACAAATCGGAATCAGGGGTATGACGATCGTATTTTCGTAAACTGAATAAAAATTGTGACGATTCCGCTAAAACCGTAATAGTGGGCAGCCCTGTGTCTACGGAGTATCTACACAACGGGGAAAGTGTAGCAGAGGATCATGTGAAAATAACAGTACTTAAACTAGACAAAGAGAGGCAACAGTCAATAAGATGATCATTAACCAGAACTAAACATTGACTGGACACTCACAAGTCTAGATACGTTGGAGTTGAGTCATAAGGACAGACCTGATCTAGTATTTTGCCTCTCCAGTCAAAAAGAAAACACCTAAATAAAGTAGAGAAGAGACATCGGGCAAATGGTATGACCATTAATCATATTCCTTAATAAGGTTGATAAATACGGTCAGTTGTCTTTATGCTCTGAAGAGAAGAAGAAACTGATCAGAAACAAGCCAAACGACAAACCAATGGGTAGCAACAGTATGAGTTTGGGGGAGGCAGATTGTCTCCATAACCTACTAAATGGTGTGTGTGTGCATGCATGCATGCATGCGTGCGTGCGCGTGTGTGTGTGTGTGTGTGTGATGACAACAGCACACACGACAGACAATAAGGGCTGCAAATGGATAATCAATAAGTAGGAGGTACTAAGCATAGGTACAGACATGGCGAAGAGTGTGAGCTGCCTAAAGACATGGTCCACTTCACTTACTCCAAAACTCGATTGTTATTCCAACATTCTGAAGCATTTTATAGGTAAAGTTCATGTAGGGGAACAGGTACAGTTCAAACATTTTCTGAAAAAAGGATGTGGATCGTCAGTCATTATAGACAGTTTCTCATAGCTAGCTTCACCACTGTACTCTACTCATGAGAAAGGAGAACAAACAAGAAGTACTCACTAAACATTCTAATTTTCTGAAGAAAGAGAATAGAGAAAACACCAAAATAAACTATGCATACAACATCATGAAACTTGTGCTCATACACTAATACCCTGAAAGTTAGAAGAACTGAACTGCTTGTAGGAATGCGTTACCAGCGAGTGAAAAAATATGACTCACCGCAACAAACTTTCCTTCTTTTCGACAAGCTTCCAAGAATGATTTATGTAGCACCCACTTTCCAGAAGCAACACAGGAAAGAAACTTCTCATTTCTTGTTGGCTGACCTACAAGAGAAGCAGAATACACAAAAAAGTTATTAAAGGTACAACATACACACTTACAATCCATTACAGAATAACAGTTATATTATGTCCGAAATCTGAAGATTTTCAAGAGAAAATCAGTTTTATCCCTGCCAAATAGCTAATTGTATAGGTTTTCCAGCCCTTGCAACACTATAAGATTATTCAAAAGACGGGACCTCCGAATTTAATGTCCATTTCTGAAAGGACCAAGCCAAATGGGAAAATTTGTGTAAAGTACCTTTCCCAGGAACAGTTTGTCATGCCACTAATGTTGCTGTCAACTTACCAATTGTTCTAAAATTGCTCAAATGTTTAGTGTAATTTGCAGCATTGTCTTTTTTCAACATTTATAGAAACAAGGTACGTTAGGCCGTAAGTATTTCAACAAAAGCAAATGAGACATCATACATACAGTCATGATTATTATGTAACACAAATATTGAATTGACTTTATGAGAATTTACTATTGGGTGGTTGGCAGATGCTTTTATGTGGTTTGCTCTTTCTTTCCTTTCAAACATCTCTTATCTTTTCTTTGAATGGTACTCTCTAGTACAACCTCAAATCTTAAGCACTTATATGACCGATTTGTGTTGTAATGCCATAAAATTCTTTTTAAAACTAAACTAGAATTTACTGGGATTATTTTTTTCTTCAAACATTCTCTTTTCTTTGAAAAGGTTGGCAAAACCTAGGAACTGTTACGATAGAAAATAGAAGGAGTAAGAGCTTTCTTCTCAAGCATACAATGCCTTATCCAACAAAGATGGGAATCAAACTAAAGGTGTATAACCAGTAGTTGCCTTCACCACCGAAAAGAACCACCTCTTAAAATTGCAAACACTTACCAACAATGAGGTGTGTGCACGTGGGGTCAAAGTGTTGCTTCTCAAGCATCTTTCCCCCAAGCTGCTCTACCAGAGCTGAGTAATCCACTCTTTCCTATAGAAAAATCAGTTTCAGCGTCAGATTTCGTTTGAACATAAATCTGTGCTCGACACAAACACCCTTGGTCAAGCTGTTAGTTACTAAAGAATGGGATGAAAGAAGGTGGCAGAGACAGTGCACCAGAGTATATTATATTACACGAGATGAATGGGATGAAAGAAGGTGGCAGAGACAGTGCACCAGAGTATATTATATTACACGAGATGAATGGGATGAAAGAAGCTGGCAGAGACAGTGCACCAGAGTATATTATATTACACGAGATGAATGGGATGAAAGAAGGTGGCAGAGACAGTGCACCAGAGTATATTATATTACACGAGATGAATGGGATGAAAGAAGGTGGCAGAGACAGTGCACCAGAGTATATTATATTACACGAGATGAATGGGATGAAAGAAGGTGGCAGAGACAGTGCACCAGAGTATATTATATTACACGAGATGAATGGGATGAAAGAAGGTGGCAGAGACAGTGCACCAGAGTATATTATATTACACGAGATGAATGGGATGAAAGAAGCTGGCAGAGACAGTGCACCAGAGTATATTATATTACACGAGATGAATGGGATGAAAGAAGGTGGCAGAGACAGTGCACCAGAGTATATTATATTACACGAGATGAATGGGATGAAAGAAGGTGGCAGAGACAGTGCACCGGAGTATATTATATTACACGAGATGAATGGGATGAAAGAAGGTGGCAGAGACAGTGCACCAGAGTATATTATATTACACGAGATGAATGGGATGAAAGAAGGTGGCAGAGACAATACACCAGAGTATATTATATTACACGAGATGAATGGGATGAAAGAAGGTGGCAGAGACAATACACCAGAGTATATTATATTACACACGTGCACCCAAAGGTATTTCACTGTTGGAGGGGTAGCCCACACTCCCAGAACACAGTGTAACTGTTACATAGCTGCCAACATTTCTAAACCAAATTACAGATGGTGGGCACTGGACATTTAGCAAACCCTCTCAGGTCTTCACACACACTTTTCTGCATTCAGTAAATTCAAGCTTTTCAAAGCAGACCTGTAACAGTGTCAGAAATTTGTAGTGAAGATCTCTCCAACTGACTCCACTTCGTTCTCATTATCATGTAAAATCTGGTCTTGACAGTTCATAATTTTCTTCAGCATCAGCAAGTCCGTGTGGGAACAATACAGGAACAAAATGAGAAAATGTATTATGATTATCTGACACAAAAATGGACTTCTGAACTCGGATCTCCAAAAACATATAAAATATATTTTTTGCATACCTGTTGGCAGCTATGCTATTATATTTCACTCAACAAATCCACTTTATGAGTGCACATGTGTGTGTCTTGGAAACATTTGAAACAAATTTTCAAGGACAACATTACTGATTGCATAGAGGCACAAGAAGGATTTCAAAGGATCGAAATACCAATTAACAGTTCTTTGGTACACAAATTTGAAAGAGTTTCGCAAATTTAAATAGCAGCTTCTACAGATGAAAATGAAAAGCATAATCCCTACACAAAGACAAAAAAAACAACGTATTGGCCACTTTTCATGATGGCAGCGATATATTTTCCTACCATTATACCATCACTTACTTCCCTGAATACCCTTCAATATCTCTTATTTTCTGCATGATCAGTTTACTCGAATTATGAATGTGTTTAACACATTTGTCAGTCCCCGATGTGTTCCAGATATTCTTGCTCAACTGTACAATTTGGACCTCGAGCAGCTTAACGCTGTTTTTGACCCTTTGGTTCTTTATAAAGAACTTCAGTGCTAGAGAGGTCAATGGAAGCAGGGTCGGAAACAGTGCCAAGCAAGTGTATGTCAAGGTTTACATAAACATTTTTATTTACCAAACAGGAGCCTTAACTCACTGACTACTGGCCCCTTTCACCAGTCACTAGCGCTGAGTACTGGCATTTTTGGGGGTACTTCAAAACACCACCACAACTCTCAGAATTATCCTATTGAAATCATTTTTTGAGACAGTAAAGTTATATTCAAACTTAATCTATAGCAAAAAATTTAGGTTGTCTAGGTCTAATACTTTAATTCTTACAATTGTTTCAAAATTGGCATGAATTCGATTTTTTGAAAATTTCCAGAGACGTGACAGATAAAATGAAATTCACAACAACAAAAATAAAAATTCAAAGTGTTTTGTTTTGATTTGTATCCATGTGCGAGTGTTTGGTGAAAATATAAAAGCTGGTCTGAGCATTTATTCAGAATTACAAGAGACAGATGTAGAGAACGAAGTTGTGATTTCGTCACGCGAACAATACCAGTACTAGTGCTAGATCTAGCCCTAAACTACGACTCAGGCTGTGTTCGGGTACATATCCAGGGTCCTAACTTTCAGACAGATCATATCCTGAGTCACTAGAACTAACAAAAAGAACAGAAGTATTGAAAACAGCGAAATTATGTGACTCTTGTTCATGCGACCGTTACTTCGACGCGACTGTCGGATTACTATCAGCTGTATAGAAAAAAACATAGCGCGAGTTCCGGTCAGGTCAACCCCAGACAAGGGGACTGTCCTTCACCTTCAATTACTTAAAAAGTTACCACAAAACTTCCACCAAACTCTGCCCGAAATGAAACAAGTGGCAAAACTAGCACTGGAATCCATTCCCGTACATGCGACGGGAGCACAAGATGCAGAACAAAATCGCAAAGTCCACCCCGTCGGGGGTGCGGGATTCGTACCTGCAAACCGCCCGCCCGCACCCCACCTGTGACGGGAACTGTAGTCAGCAAGTTAAAATCTTATAATCTACATATATCGACAGCTAAATGAAAGACTCCATTGTACGTCACTTTTAAAAATGGCGTATGGTGAAGTCTCATACTAAACAGTCCATATATATGTATTAAAACTGTAAATTCTTTTGAGGAAAAAGAACAATATTTTCAGGAATATAAATTCTATTTCAACCGTTTGCTAAACATAGAGAGAGAAAAACATATTTCCTGCAGGCATTTTCTAAATGAATCATGAGCATAACAAAAGCCTGACAGACATTCACTTTTGAAAACTGAAGAAAAGAATACAAACCTCATTACTCATCCCCGAAACCAGGATTACTGGTGCTGCCTTCGTGATGTGCTCAGCACGGCTATCGCTACTTTCTTCGCTAAGCAATTCCACTGGCTCAGGGGACAGCACTTTAGAAGCCGGTTTTGCAACAGGAAACGCTGTCAGAACAGATACACAATATGACCCTTAACAATTTGCTACTGCAATTTCATCCACTGTTGTGGCTTGCTCTGAGAACGTGTTGAAAGGGTGACAGTTGAAGTAAGAATTTGTGCTGTGTATGAGTCAACACGGATGACCTCACGGAAAAAAAAGTGGCTGTTAACTAAAGAGCCCCGACATCAAATTTTACTTTTTTGTCACTGTTTTGAGCCATGATAAGTGGCATCAAGTGCACATCCTATCAACATAATAATACAAGTCAGTAATAGCTATTGATAAATTTGCTTGTTATTTTGCCTTTTCCTTGTTAATGCTGAGTTAATGCTCATGATCAGTTTGTCAAGACATTGCACTTCTGTCATTAACCAAATAAAAGAATACATAAGAACTGATGGATAAACTGAAAAGCAGCAAAAACCCATTCATAACGTACAGTCTAAAGGAAAATCATCAACTACAGAAAATTCTGACATTGTCTATGGTACATATTGAGGATTACAACAAGAATTCTAAGCAACAAAAATGCTACAACACATTACTTCGAAGGCCTCGTTTCGTTAAACTTCCAAATATTCAAGATTTAGCATTGATCTAGAGTAATTAACCTGCTCAAGAAAATGAATTCATTAATTAGAACAACTTAAAACAACAAAGTTCTTCAAGCCTACCTAAGGGTGGAGGTTCCGGTGTAGGGGACCTACAAGATGGAAGCTTTGAACTTGTCTGAGCCTGCAGAGAGTAGTTATAAAAAAAACACACAACAAGTTGTATTGTAACCACCTGCTTGCACACAAAAAAATATAATCAATGATTTCCATTACAAAATGTTATGAAGACTTATAAAAGTAATGTTTTTCAACAAGAATTAAAAGAAAATGGAAAGGAGTGGGGGGGTTGTTGTTTAAGGGAGAGGAGGGAGAGAGATAGACAGAGAGAGAGTCAGATAGACAGACAGATAGACAAACAGAGTAATTACAAATTGTTTGCAACCTACATCACATTTTTTTTCTTCATTGTTTCCTTACCCATCAAGTTTGGGGTTTGACTGCAAAGTACCTTTTTCTAATCCCTAAGAGTAAAGGAAAAGAAAAGGTTCTCAATTTACTGAAAGCCATAGACTCCTAGAGACAAAACATTCTAGAGGAAGACTTTCCTAAACAATAATAACAAGAACAACAACAAAAAGATAAGGGTGAAACATAGAGATAACATAGCAGTTTAATTTCCTATCTTGCTGAATAGCTCTTCCTGAATCATTGGTTGAAAATCCCTGCTGAGGGATTTCAATAGCCCTAGATAAAAATAGGAGGACTGAAAACTTTGAAGAAATCCCAATAAAGTAATAAAAAGGTTTTTTTCTGTGTACCTTCATGAAACATCTGCTCAGCATAGCTCTGAAAAGGTTCATGCATAATATACAAATTAGACATGAGCGTTTTCTTATATTCCCTTAAGTTTAAATCCCATTTCAGCACAGTAAGAATGTTTCAAAGCCAAAATTCATACTATAACATCTCCTAACGTACTGAGCCAAAATAGATGAGAGATTAGAACATTCTCCAAGTAATGAGAACCTGAACGAGAGTCACTCACATATAATCCCTCATGATGCCAACATGAGCAACGTAATGCAGACTATGCTGAAAAGTAGTAGATAAAGTAGCCAAGAAATTTTAAAATTATTGATGATTTGATGAACAGGATCTATGGAAAAAAACAACCACCAAACACAGCAAGTCACAAAACTTACAGCTAGTCCTCCATTCTCAGAGGCAGGCTTGTCAACCTGATAATCCATTGCTGCCAACATGTCATCTGTATTTTGGCTTGGATCACAAACACGAGCTAATCTGTGGGCCAGTTTTTCTTCTTCTAACCTGAGAACAATGACAAAGACAAAGAAATACAAATAAAGAAAGTATCAAAGCTGTGCATAAAACCATTCTATCGAAAGATAAAAATTTGTCAAAATAAAGCAAAATTTTAACAAGTTCATACAGATCATACAAAATATGACAGACCTAAGCCCTGAGTATGTGCAGAAATAAACAGCCTTGAGTACCAGCACAATTCCATTTTTTTAAAACGTGAAAAATACTTTATTAAATGACAAAATAGATTTTTTAAATTTTCATCACAATCAGCATATTAGGAAAATACAACTGCATACCAGTACCAAGGTCTTTTTCTGCAGTTCTGTTCCTCATAAGCTTAAAAATCTTAACTCACTCTAGACCTTCTGTACATGACAAAAAACCAGAACACCTTAAATGTCAAGAGAATTTATTGACAGGGAATTGGGAAAAAGAGTAAATAAACACAAAACAGTAATGAGTTTCAAAAAACAGAGAAAGGAGGCTGTGCTGTCCCTATATTGTCAATTACAAGAAGGGGTGAAAAGATAATACCCACTGTGCATTAACTCTTGTCCTGCGTCTGTGCCGAGATGCGAATCTTATCAGCAACCGATTACATTGGACATGCCGGGCAGGCCGCCGAGGTCACTCAGTGTGTACTGTTGGTGTACAGCGCGTGCACCGGGAAGCGTGTGTTTTCGCCATGAATACCGCGGGAGTGTGTTAACCAATGATAAAAAATAACGCTCTATCTTTCATAGCCTTCTATTTATAAAGTGTTACAAACATATGAATAACCCCCTCTCACAAGCTGATAAGACATTACGAGTAGTTACGCCCATTCGAATAACCTTTCTGGACGCTGTTGTTGTTATGAATGACCTGAGGTTCGAAAGGGGATAATATAGGTCAACTGCCGAATGTTTTACACTCAAATTGTTCTTTGTACCTGCACAATGGTATTCAAAACTATCAAACAAGCTTATTTTTTTATCAAAATCAAGCTCATTTGAAAGATTTTGTATAGAAAAATGGAAGTCTTGTTTCTTGACTATCCTTTCGAGCTCCTCATGGCCAAAAGGGTCAATTTCTTCTATAATTTCATTGGACGAACATCTAGAGCTACCAACTTGGCATGTTTTGAATGAGACGTATACCTTGATTACGAACCAACGCAGGCAGTTCTAGAAGAAGGCCACAAACGCACACAAACTCAAGCAGACTGATGCACATACACTTGACCAGCGTGAATGGGGATCCGACTCGGGACACGTAAGATGATGCGCGCTGCGCGTGCGCTGAGCCAGGGGCTACACTGATTCGGGACCAGAACATAGGCGAGGTGCCGAGATAGGCTTATCGGGTGACATAAACCCGGCTCCCGCAGGACGAGGGTTAAAAACTTCGAACACGTAATTTAACTGTAACATAAGGAGGCCTATAGGCATACTGGAGGTACTAACGTTAGCCCCTTCTTCATATATATATATATATATAAATTAAATGCCTTTGTTTTGGCACAACATGTGTGCCGATATCCACTCGTCCCTACCACTGACCATGTTGTTAATGGTTAAAACAGGTCAAGCCCACTGTCTCAAAAAGCTGGCACCCAGCTTCAATGATGACTTTTAAAAGACATAATACATTTGTTCTCAATATTTTGCCTACAAAGGCAAACAGCTCCGCAACAAAACCACAACCCCTTTCAATGCAGCCTTATGTACTACCAGAAAAAAAAAACCCAAAGAAAATAACTCAACAAATAGTGATTGCCAACCGTATAAGGAGTGCACTATTCTGACATTTTCATTACTCCTGTAGTCAGCCACCTTCTCTTCACATATGAACTAGTCATTACCTCAAACAAAAACCAGGAAAGAAATAAAAGAGGGCTTATAAGTACACTCAACCAAGAGGCTAAAGGGGGCATAGGCTTGAAGGTCTTTTTCAATTTCCGTGAAAACTAAAAATTACTGTACCCCTCTTTATTGTGACCACCTGGCAAATGCAAACACCATTTAAAGAAAGAAAATGTGGTCTTCATTAAGAGATTTTACCATATTTGAAATCCTTTTTTTTACCTGCCAGTGGGATCATCCCAGGTGACCTGTACACTCTGGGGAAGTTCCATTGCACTTGTATCCGCTTTTGACTCTGACAATGATACACAATTAGGAAGATGTGACATATCACATAAAACTGACTTTTTGTCTCAAAGCTAATCAGCTTACGCATCTCTTCGAAAAATCCCAGACAAAAAGACATTATAAGCATCCTCTGCAGCTTGTACTGCTCTATTTATGACAAAATAAAGTGCGTTTGGTCTTTATACAAATATTGAACAATAAAAACTTGCAAAACCAAACAACACACAGAATGCAACGGTGTCTAAAGAGAGGATAGCAGCAGAAAGATGAAAGTAAAGAGTTCACTTAAAAATAAAGTTAAACTGAAACAGGGGGGAAGGCCACTTGGCAAAACAAAACAATTGTTGTTGAAACACAAAAACTGCAAGCACAAATCTTTCTAAGGAACATAGGCTACCTTTGTTACCCCATGGGCTGTTTCCTGACAAGTTACTCTCTGAAGCACTCAGCTGACCACTCACTGAAAAAGAAGAATACCGTAAACTTAAAGTAGACAAGTATGAATGTCAACCTCACAATTTTTATTATTTCAGAAAAGAAAATGAGCTTTTTCATAAGAAATGAAAAGAATCGAGAAAATATATACTTTGCTTCTTAAATTAAAAAATATGTGACTTCTCAGTCAGTAAACAAAAAAAAAAGGAGAAAAAACAAGTTTAATGAGTTTCATACCGAAATTGTTTTACATTTAAATAATAATAACACAAAACAAACTATTTGAATTATTCCGGTCACCCATGAGCTATAGTCTCTTTCTGAGCCTAGGTTAATATATTTTGCTCAAACACACATCTCAGTGACCCCTCATCTAAGAGCCATCTCACCAATATAGCAAAACATTCTTTCCGAACAATCATTAATGACTCACTCAACAACCACAGCAATAGATTAACAAGGTAAAGATTTCTGGAAATATGCTGCCTTTAAATAGCAGCTTGCACTGTATGCTTTCCAGGAAGTTGAGATTGTTTCAGAATGCTATCAGGTCAGCATGGGTAATAGTATAGATTGTAAAGCGCATGGAGCTTGTTCTTGACCAGGAATTTGCACTGTACAAATACTTTCTATTATCTATTATCATTATTGTTATTACTATGTTACAGTGTGTACCAAACTAATAGGGAGCAGAGGATACAAAGCAAACAAACCCTTGCACTACAGCTGACTTACACCTCATGCTAACTTACTGGCTTCTAAAAAAATAACAGCTGAAAGCTACTGTGTTGGTACAAACTACGTAAGCTAGGAACGCATTAAGCTGAAAATATACTGCCACGTACAACTGAAGTGCACCACGAAAAAAGTCGTGCCCTCCTCTTTATTTCCTATCGGTGATTTTATTGACACAACTAGACGTGAGGAGTCGTGAGGACCCAAAAAGATGTGCATGCGTGCAGCACTTCTTTTTCCGCATGAGGACAGCCTCTCAATCTTACTTGTTTCATTTATCTCTCAGTATCCTTTCCTTTGTTGGTTCTGTGCAGAATTTTTTTCCCATTACACCAACTTCCATTTTTACATTTCGCACCTTTTTTTTGTTTTGATGTGGAAATCTGCAGCATACAAATCTAACAAAGCTTTGTACTTATCAGGCATCATTCGCACATAATCCATAAAATTCTTTGTGTTTGAGCAAGTCAGTTTTCAAGTGGCACAAAGTAGTATGCTCCATGTTGTCTTCTTGATCTGTTTATAGGTGCACTCCAAATCTCCGACAACGCTGTATTCTCTGTCTTCATTTCCACAGCCACCACACACAAAGTCTCTCACGCCTGTTAAGCGCCATATTTTAAAAGAGAGTCGGACGGAGTCGCGATAACCTATGGGATCGCCACTTCTGACCTAACTGCTCGTCTGTTTCGCGGCACACTTCAGTTGTGCTTGGCAGTATATTTTCAGCCTTAGTATGTCACTTACAATTAAGTCGCTTCCCTTTCCTTCTTGTTCTATTTGATCTGGGAAAAAAATTTTTTGAATTACAATAATAATATGGTGAAAACAGGTATTCTGAGTACACAACAAGACTTAAAAACAGAAAGATTACATATTTGAACTATACTTTGAAAGAAAAATATTTTCACACGTGCATTGAAGCAACTGAATCTCTAACAAGTGGGGCCCATGTAGTCATTTATATATTTATACAATACCTTATCACATTTATGAATCTGTCACATTTTTTTTACAACAACAGTCCAAACTGTCCATTACAATTACAGTCACTTAAGACCACAGAGAAAAATGACCATTATAGCCAGTTGGCCCCTGTGGATAGGGACTGAGTTATGGTCGCTTACTACACTTGACAAAGTTAACAAAGTTCAACAGATGGTCTAAAATCTGAAATCTTTATTTTTATATCTTGCCCTTTCATTTTTATAAAAATTGTTTTCCATCATTGATTGAACATACACACTTAGTCCTAAGACCGGTTGGTGGAAAACTAATAGCAAGTGACTTCTATGAGCGGGTTTTGAGGTTGACTTTTCGTAAACATGACTGACCATAACTGCAATAGACAGGGACTGATATGGACAGGTTTTTAAAATTTTCAAATATGCCAGCGTGCCACTGGCCTTCAGTACAGGTGATCACATGGGAAAGCTGACAACTAGAGCAGGATTGACTGTACACTGATATTTTATTACCTTAAAATACTTTAAAGGAATTCAACAATATGAAATCTTGAAATATTTTTTTTTTAAACCCACTCGTAAAAGTACCCAAAACAAGCAAAAGTATGCAACAACAGTTCAATTACTAATGAAATTCAAAACTTATCAGAACAGATCAAGGCAAGTACCATAGATATGAAAGAGTTATAAAGAAAGACCAATGAAGAACACTACAGTAGTCTCCGCCTAAGATCCCACCGCTTATGGTCCCAGTTCGCCTAAGATCCACCTGTTTTGGAAAAACAGAATTTTTACTATATAAAAGTCACCCCTAAGATCCCGCACTGAAGGAACTACATTTGGCTAAGATCCCGCTTTTCAGGTTATACTTTAGTTATTTTTTTCTTTATTTAAAAAAAAAAAGAATAAGAAACCTGAGCGTGCTCAGCTGATCAACCAAGTAGCGAAAATGTGTGATCATTGTATGGTCCGTCGCATCACGGATCATTCACTCTCATGAAAGCGATCAAACCTCTGTTGTAAATCTCGATAAGCGGTTACCATGTTTACCCCAGACGGGATCGCACCAAAGTGTGAACTCGTCGATGTCTTGCTTTCCCCGATCACCTGAGCCATCCGCCTGATATTACACCACACAAAAGCAAGCGTCAGCACACTGCATTTTATCAAACTGTGAACTCGTGGACGCTTATGTTTTCCCGACCATCGCTCTTGTCTTTCAGTTTTGTGCTCTAACTTCCTAGACAGACTGGCGCCCATACTCATGGACTGTCCGACCGCCTCTGCGTAATTTTTTTTTAAAAATATAATTTGGACGGTGTGGTCACAACACAACAATTTATGATGCATCATGACATAGGCAAAGAACTCTGTTAGAGATGGAAAGCAATAAACTTGGGGGGGGGGGGGCCGCATTGCTTGAAGCCAACTGGTTCCCACTTGACACAGTATTTTTTTAAAATCCTCACCCCCCGCCCCTAAATTTAAAAAAAAAAAAAAAAAAAAAAAGGAAAAACTGACTTCTCAAGAAAACTTTTCGTGCCAAGAAGTCATGTTAGTTCATTTTATAGTAAAGGAAGATCATTGTACAGATTAAGGGCCTGACCATGAGTTACTGTGGATTCTTCCCCCTGGCCATTCGGCTAAGATCCCGGTTTGCCTAAGATCCCGCATTTTCCTTGCTCCCCAGCACCGGGATCATAGGCGGAGACTACTGTATTTCAGGACCCTCACAATCCTTAGTGCCAAAACACAAACAGTCAATTTGCCACTACACAATAACAATTGAAGTTTTTGATGTTGATTCCTTGTAGAACACTTCTCAACTATTTCTTACCTGCTAAAACCTTTTTTTACAGATGAATAATTTATGATACTGAATTTTAACAAATATGAAACAACTTACAGTTATGTAAACTCACCTTGAAGCTCCAGCTAGAGCATTGCCTAAAGTTTCTGTAAGGGCTTTCTTTATTTCTTGACTTTTACTTCGATCTACAGAACTCTGAAAGACAAATTAAGCAGTACTACAGACAGCACAATAGAAATTCATGGACAGTTCATAGAAGGAAACTTGATAACAAATTAACAATGTGTAGTTCAAATCCTAATCCTATTTTATTTTTTCACCAAATAATTTGACATTTATGGAATTTAAAGTTTTAATGGGTACCCTAAAAATCAATGAACAAAGGAGCACATATTCACAAAATATACTAATATATTAAAAATATATACATACAAAAATATATGAAATAAAGTAATATACAAATCTATAAGACTTAAAATGTTTCTTCTAAACAAAGATTGACAGAGGCCAAGAGGAGCTGAGAAGTCGGGCATAGACCACAGAAACCTTTGCCTTTTAGGCAATTTTGACAGTACAATTTCCTATGATTTACCTCTTTGGTGACGATACTACTGTCATCCCCATGAGTCGTGCTAGGATTGTGAGGGGTATCTTCCTTGTGTCCCACTACACCTTTGACAGTCCCCTTTTCTGTTGGAAACATGTTTTTTGAAACCTCTCCAACAGCTGAGCTCGCATCACTGTGAAATAAATATTTGCCAGAACTTGAATTGTACAAGCTTATCAAAACAGCTCTTTAATATTAACCTTTGGGAGCAGCTACAAACTAAGTACAGTTGGAATTGTCAAAGATGGCCTCCCATAGAAGAGGTTTTCCTAGACAAGTGGGCATCTTGGACAGTGTCATTATAACATACAAAAAAAATAATGAGGGAAGATATGAAACATTAGAGCAAGTTCGTCTGTATACCATAATCATAAATACCCTTTCTAGAAATTGCAAATATTTTTTTATTCTTTCTGACATTAAACAATACATTGATTGGATCAGTCAGATTCTTACCCTGAAAAAGAAGCATGAGAAAAGAAATGCTCATTTCTAAAATGAGATGGTTTACAGTTTTAATTTCTAAAATCTTAAGAGAATGGTGTTTATAACACAATCAGAGTGCGTCATTTAATACTAGATTGCTGATCATGTGCATTTAAATAAGTTTCAGATAAACCCATGATAACAGTTAAATCATTTAGAGAAAACTGGCTTTTTCAAAATTTTGATTTTTTTCCCCCAAAAAAGTAAAAAATATAACAATTGTACATCAGAGTTTAGACTTTTATCACCACTCAAGGGGCAGCATTGCAACTCCAGCTGACATACAGATGGTGTATTTGTTACCCTATAACCAGTTCAGAAATCAGAGAAGAGATTAGGAATTCTAAAGAAATATTGATCAAATCACAAAATTATTAATTTAAAACAGTGAACCCTCACTAACATTTATAACGATGAACATGGTTGCAAGATCAGAAGAAAAAAAATTGTTTAAGGGTCTTCAAAGGGCAATTTCTTTATACCGATGAAAAATACTTTACACCAACTCCACTAAAATTGCCATCAACCTAAAACATAGCTGTTTTTATGACACCACATCATAAAACCACTACCAACACATACGACAAAACTGACCTCCCACTGCTGGTTTCTGCAACAACTGGGTTATCTTTACGACTGGACCTCCCGTGAGCTGACGAATTTTTCTTCTCGACTGCCACAATGTTCAGCAGGGGAGCTTTCTTGGCCGGTGTCACGCCCGGCAGAGTGTCCGGCTTGGTGGTCACTTCACTCGATCCTGCCATCTTTGCAGCTGCTCTGGTACTTCGGCTTGGAGTGCCTCTTTTAGATGGAGTCATCATCTGAGTAAATTTTTTTTTAAACCGCTTAGGAGTCATTATCAGTAATAGAAGAAGCACCAACTTGGAGAAGTCATCATCAGTAACAAAAGAAGCATAAACTTGGAGAAGTCGCCAGAACGAAAAGAATGAGAGATCTTTTGACAGGAAAGAAGGAGCAAACCATACCAGAGCATCCATCAACCTTTGAATGTAAGAAAATGTTCATATGGACAAGAAAGTCATTTTTTAAACCCATGATTCCTTAGTAGGTGTAAAGTTTATAGAAAATAATAAATTTACTTTGAAATTTATGAAACATTGGAAAAAGTTGCAAAATGATTCTTAAAAGAATGGCAATTAAAAAGAATAAGCATATTTGTGTACTATCTCACATCATAAAACTAAAATATGAACACTTGTCTGTCAAGTCTATTCTGACTTTTGACAATTAATTTCCAGTGCATGAAATAATTCAGCCGAAACAGAACAGTACCTATAACCTCAAAATTAATTGAGTAAGTCTGATTTTGGCATTAATGGAAAAAACAAATTAAAGGACAGCTGCAAAATGAACAAAACATACATTCATGAAAAAATAAGACAGCTGTCCATCACAAACAATGAGAGCTAATTTTAAGTTGCTACCACAATATTCTTCGCAGGCATGCTTAAATTTTTCCAATGGGCCCATTTTAAAAAAAAAGTATTTTACATTAATATGTTAGATTTCGCAAACCAAATGACCCAAAGCAAATACACATTGATAAACTCAAATCAAACACTCTTACATGCATAGAACACTTGTGATTCATCTTACTTTTGTTCCATCCATATGTTCTTGTTTTGTGAAAAAATAAATATGTAATAAAATATAGGATCAAAAGCAAACAAAACAAAATAAAAGCTTCACTAAGTAAAGCCAAAAACTATACCTCAGCACTTAGTTCACAGCACTCTACCAGGACTGCAAACTGAGCTAGAAAATACTTCTGTTGTCCACAAAAAACTTACCAGACGGTAGTTAGGGTTGTAATTATGAGGAAAAAGGGTTTCATCAACTCTGCAATTTTGCTCCTTGCACTGGAAAGAGAGAGGTACTTTTAGTTTAAGTAAGTTTTAATGGCACTTACAACACAATAAATAGGTCGTTTAATTCATTTCACCCAGCCTACGTACATATACATAGGGCCCATGCACGTGCCATCTACGTAGATAGACGCAGTGAGTATTACTACACAAAACCCAAGCTCTTATCTACGATTACAGGTTTTCTAAGAGAAATAAAATATCCCTTAAGATACCATAAATAAATTCCCTCTATTCTTAGCATATTGAGACAAACAGTGATAAAATAAGTTAGGTGGTAAGAAGAAAAAGAAATAACCACAAAAAACAGCTGTGCGACGGCTATTTTTGTGTTTGTTTAAATACATGAGCTATGTTTTTCGTTTTGTTTTGGGTATAAGCAGCAAATAATGTGATAATAGACATAAATCTAGAAAAACAAGGCCATAATATGATTGATTTTAATGCCTTGAAAGCCTTGTAGAAAAGCTAGATCTAGATCGCAGATTACTATAAGTTGCTACGGGTGAATCGAGTGCTGATGAGCCGCAGTCCGACAAAGAATTAGACTGTTTTTTCCGCTTTTTTCTTCCTCCTTTTCTCAAATAATGTTAGACACCATCATAAGTAAAATCTAAGCAAAATTTCATATTGATAATTTAAATAGTTTGGGCACAGTGCGTGTCTAAAGTTAGTGTGTCGAGTTCAGACTGATGTTTTTAACTCGGCTCGAGGCAGGCCAGGTAGACACAAGTGCACTGTTTACAACCATGCAAGGTGAATAGGGTTAAGTGCCAAAGATGAAGTGTTACTAGAGAGTAACATACAAAGAAAACAAGGAGAGATGAAGACCATATAGATATTTGATAGGAAAGAATGAGGAAACCACATTAGAGCACATGCCGCCCACCGGCCTAGAGAGGTACAAACAGTGCAAAATTATTAAAACATTCATAATAATAAAACAAAATAATAATAATCAACTGTCAATTCTTTCAAATCCATTCCCTGTTAGGTGTTTTGACACTATAACTTGGTATTTTAAAGCTAACTTAGTCAAGGCACAAGAGCAGTCCTCAGGCCATAACTTTCTTGCCATGTCTTACACTCACACTAAGAACACTCACTTTGAAAAAGATAATGTGATAGAAAAGGGGGATGAAACAGTAAGTTAGGCCATACTTAATTGACCAAAAAAAATAGGAAAAAAGTTTACAAACATTCTACATTAACTGTTTTGCACATGACTATGGACCTACATACTACTACTCTAAAACCAAGACACTGATAAAAACAGAAAACAACCTTGTCACAAAAAAAATAAACCTTTTATGCTCAAACCCTAGGCACTTCAATGTTCCAAAACAAAGGCACAATTACACTGCTATAGACATCCCTTGAATGGAGACGAGCACAATTTATCAAGATCAAAGTCATCTTGAAACCAAAAGCTTCACAAAAGGGAAGTACAAAATCAACAAAACCAAACCAGCAAATTTTTAAGGCACAAACTCCAAGAAATCACTTACAGCATACAGCCAGTGTGGAGACACAATCGTTTTTCCTTCCTCTCTTGCTTTCCGGAATTCTTTATTAACATCATTTGGTCGTCCCTTATGAAAGACAAAAGAGTGTAGCATATAAAGATGACATTCAATAGTCTCATATTCCCTCCATCAGTAAAAGATACAGAACTATAATAATACCTCTCTTGAAATGCCAGCTTACCAACGTAGACCCTGATCAAACATATATAGTGCAGTAGGCAGTAAAGTGCACACTTTGAGAATTGCCATTTACCTATACACAGCTCATGGATGTAATGGTAAGGTACCTTATCAAGAAAAAACTGTTCTATTCAGCACAGCCAAAAGCTGAATGATAACCTTACAATTGAGAATTCCTCAGTTAAAAAAAAAAGAAAACAATAAAGAATCATTCAAGAATCAAAAGCAACTAGAGTCTATCTTAAATTACTTTTCAGTCTACCATTCAAGACAAAAAGAGTCAGCGGTTTGGACCAGGCAAGCCACTACGGCTTCTTCTTTCAGCCAAAATTTGTATTCCTACTCTACCTCAGGTCAGGGGTGGCCAAAAGTAGATTCTTTATCCCACAATATGGCCCATATTGATATCTGAGTGGCCCTTCCCGTAACCCAATACATACTCTTTCTGAATATAGCCAAAGACTCCACCTTACCTGAAAGACAAAGTGTGTGACATGATCTCCGCTATGCCAGGAGTAGTCCCCTCCTAACTCAACCACCATCATGTTGTACTCATCATGACTGTGACCAAGCTTTTTCGCCACAGCAATAACCACGCCATGGAGAGGTGCTTGCTGATCAAGCTGAAAATACAAAATATGGGGAAGGTTAGGACATTAAAGATTTCTCTTTTTTTTTTCCCTTTCAGAAAATGAATTACTCACTAGTCAACACAAATTGCATCTTTCAGGGTGTTAGCTGCTTTGACAGCCAAAGAATCGTACTGTTACACAAGAAACTGATTTTTAAATGTTTCAGGAGAAAAATAAGTCATATTCTTCCAAAAGAAATAGGACCTTGTCAGTTGTGCCCTCTAAAGTTTTTGAAGTTAAGGAAAGATCAAGTTGCTCTCCGACAGAACACAAAAACCTTTTTGCAAGGATATGAGTGTACTCAGTGTCCTTATAGCCGTACCTTATAAATGGTATTACATGATTATATCCCAATACTGGCATGATGAGCTGGCCTCAGGTCCTTGCACATTTTTTTTTTTTTGGGTTAACGTGTTTTATGGCACTCGCAACTGCATAAGGCAATATGAGCACTCAGAACACATTAAACATTTTCAGTTTGGCAGGAATTCATTTTGAATTTTGCCCGGGTGACGGCCGAAGCCTACTCTTATTAATTTTAGACCACCAAGGTATCTTTAACGTGCAAAACTTGCACATGCGACCTCCGAGATTTTTCTATCTTTTCCGAGAAGGTTAAGTGTTACATCTTACCTACCCTAAGATCAGGGGTGTGGCTGAAAGACAGAAGTAAAAAGGAGCCATGGAGTAGCAGTAGAAAGAGTCAGGAGCCCAGAAAAGAGAGGGTGGGGGAAGAAGTTGGAGACGAAAACAGACGACAGAACACGGTTAGAGAGCAGGAAAGGAGGTGAAAAGGAACAAATTTTAAAGAAGAAAATTTTCCTTTGCTGCCAGGTTTCGAAGAGACGAACCTCTAGACCACTTTTTTCGTCAAAACCTGTTATGTCTATTTAAAAACTCATTTCAGTGTGGATTTTACTGAAAAACAAAGAAAGGCATAAAAAGGGTAAATTTGCAGTTTCCAAGAACACTCAAACTTTGGAAGTCACCAAAATGTAGAAGCCATTTTTCCACTAATTTTACTTCTGACACCAGGCGACCTCCCACCTCCTTCAATGGCATATATCTCGATATTTATTCTAGATACATGATGGGTATCGTTTCATGAAAGGCAAAATAAATGAACAGGCTTTAAGATGTTACCAGTAACTGCATACGCCCAAAAAATTGACATAGATGACAGCAAATGTAGCTTTTCTTCCCTTTTTTTTTTAAAGACTGGAAACTCAAACCTTTGACATGATAAAACTACCAGAGCAGAATGGTTCTCTGCATTCATAATTTAATAAGCTTTTGACTGGAAAAAACTGAGGCATATGACACTTCAATGAATCACTGCATTCATGAAGATGTTTGACGCTGCCATGTGAAGAATGAGGAAGAAAAAGAATTAAGTTTCTTCAACAAAACAGGTTAACTGCAATAGACATATTACAAGCAGCAAAACACAGAATCTTATTCAGTACATATATATGTAATAAAAAACCCAAACTCACCACACCCTGGCTCGCTGGCATCTCTCCATCTTGAGACGATGCATTATTGAAAGCAGAATTCTGCGCAGCTTTTGTTATCTGTCGGCTAAAAACCTCTCCCAGGGGCTGAAATAAATCAAACAAAAATTGAGCAGTTCTTGACATGAAATTTTAACACCAGTCACACACGTAACTTTTTATTAGTCTTTAAAAAAAATCAATTTGTAAACATACAGGGTTAAAATAAAAGCTCTAGTCCTTGGCTTCCTCGATTTAATAACTACTCTATACATGGTTTCACCTTGAGCAATTTGGGACATTTAGCTACCTGTCTAACTTCAATGGAAAAATCAATGACCAGCGGATGAAGACAGTGCAGGAGGAAAGGAACACTCTTCCGCAACTTGGAAATTGTTACTATGAAAAAAGTAATTCATATAAAGTACAAACTTACTATGGATTTATCAGACTCTTCCACTACTTGAAAGTTGCTACTACAAAAAAACATACATAAGATAAAAACTTACTGTGGATTTATCAAGGTCTGTTTTTGTATCTGGAGTGGTAAAGACCCCCTGTAAAATAGGACACAAAGAAACTCACATTGTCAGATACTTTGTGCACAAGCCCACATTCTTTCATTGCATCAACTTACAAAGTCACATATCATGGTATTGCTATCTTGATAGAAAAGGATCTAGTCAATCACTACAGGAGATCGATCAGCATTATTTCAATAACTGAATGATAACCTCCTTTAGAGAGAAAGAGAACTCATCACGTCTGTATTTTCCCTTCTCAAAATAAAAGAGACCAGACTGAAAATCTAAACCCATGTTATTCTTTAAAAAACAAAGTATGCAGGAATACAGAAGAAAATATTATACAATTAAACAGAGACGGTTTCAACACCTTCAGAAACATTAACACCTCAGTCCTTTCCCAGAAAGCTGTTGGCTAAACTTTATCTAAAACAGAAAATATCTGCTTATTTTGTGAGAAAAGAACTGATCTCAAAATTTAAAGGAAAAAAAGTTCCTGAACATTCAAAGGGGCTTCTCATGAGATTAAATAAATGGTACAGGAAAGGCTTGTAAATATTAAACGTTTTCACACAAAAACTCAGTTCTAAAATACAAAATTTGAACTCACATCCAGATTAAAATTAGGTTTAAATCCTGGCTTGAGAAATGTACTTGGGGTTTCTCCACCGCCTTTGACTAGACCCAAGGGGGTGGATGACATGGGCTGTGCACTGCCCTGGCCAGCCTGAGGAACAGAGAGTAATACAGGCTTGCCAACCTTTTCAAAACCCAATCAGAGACACCCAATATTCATACGCTTAGATTACATAACAACAAACAAAATCATATCAAGTCGGACTGGTTTTGGTGTGGTGTATGTGACAAGGCTCTCAAATGCCAGATTGCAAAGCCCAGGACAGTCCCAGGAAATTCAGGACAACTGGCAAGCCTGGTAATAAGAGTTCTGAAACACACACAATCTGGTTACATGTATCTGTGGGACAGTAGTCACTAAGTAGTGCTTTACTCTGAGTCAGCTCTAAACAGTCACATTTTAATAGAAATAAAATAGGTCAAAAGTTGTCCTGGAAAGGAGGAGGAGTAAGTCACTCAGGGTGCTGACTAACTGCCAGCTGAGGAGGAAGAGAGCAGTTGTGGGAAAGGACAAATTGTGAGACGTGCTGACAAAATGAGTTACTTCTCGAATCCGCAAATGAAGATATTGGCCTAAAAATTGACACTAGGGTCAAATATGTAGATTTTCTATTGATGCCATATTCTTTAAGTATAACATGTCTTTTATTATTTCATACTTATAAACTGCAAAAACTTCACCCATAAGTGTGATGTATCTATTTCCATAGGGCTCGAATCCGAGAAATAACTCATATTCTCAGCACTTCACAACTGTCTTTTTAAACAATAAGCTGAAACATTACCAGTTGATTAAAGCCAACAATAAGTGATCATATTATATAATCTAAGAGCAAAATAAAGCAAATGTTAAAAAGCATTCCTTCTGAACAAAAACCACCAACATACTGAATATGGCATCATACCATTGCACAATTATACACTATTTTACGCCAATTGCAATAAAAGAATAAAGATTATAAAAGGGTTGACTCATTATATAATTTCTACACACATTCCACCAATAACAACTGGGCAAACAAATACAAACTAAAATGTAACTTTACAGAATGCATTCCTTATCATGTTGGAAATACCACAGAAAAACAACGAAACAGCAATCCCCCCCCCCCCCCCCCCCAAAACATCAACTGAATTTGTAACATACCAAAAGCTGTCTTCTCAGGCTGACTGGGGTCTTTGAATTCCCAGCTGTAATGTTCTCACTTTGATTTGGTCGACATGCACTTCTTGGAGTTAAATTATTTGACTTGTGGAGATGACTGTTTGACCCATCAGAGGTCCCCAATAACTGGTGTGTCACTTGTGCCATTGGGTTGTCAACTGAAGCATTTTTGTCTTTGATACCAACACTCTCAGAAGAAGAAGAGGGAACTGGTATTTCACTGGGCTAAAAGGTATAGAAATATGGAAATGAGGAAATAAGTCCAAGGTCCAAGTGACACCATTTATTTGTTTAAATTCCATTATGATGAGCATCATGATGTCTATGTCGATGTTATTCAGATTCTGTAACGGTGGTGGTGGTGGTGGGGGGGAATGGGATACATATAAAATAATACTTCTTTAAAATTTACTTTAAAATTTTTTAGAGGGGCATTAAAAATCACATTTGATTCAATATGTATATTTTATGTCTCTTGAACAGTCCAGACATTTACTCCAGTAAAAATAATACATTGATTCAAACCAGGTTAAACAAGTCTGTACCAATTAGCCACAGAAGACTATCTTGATACCTTAATAAGAGTGCATTAACCTGCAGCTGATGTACAAAGGAGAAGCTTCTTCACTTACTATCCCGTGGTTTTTTGAGAGAGCTCCAGGACTGGTAGAGGCTGCAACAGGATCTTTCCTCAAATCCTCAGTCCTAGACTTTCTCTCAACTCCTTCCTTAGGTTCATAAGGGTCAGGAGAAATGCTCTTTTCTTTCTCAAGAGCATAAGATTTCCGGGATCGAGCTAATTCTGGTGTGTTTGAAAGTGCACTCTTGTTTCCACTCCTTTGAGGGGTCTCAACACTTTGATCAACTTCTGATCTTTTACGTTCTAGTACTTCAATGGCATACTCTGCCTCCGGTATATGTTGTCTTGCAGACACACAAGCCAAGAGCCACCTGAAATATAGAATTGAGATCACAGCTAGATGAATGCCACAACATTTTATTTAACCAGCTTTCTTAAAACACGGTTTTGGGAAATTGTACTTATGCTATACCTCAAAGGACTGATAACAGAAGCACAGACAACTTTGATCGACAACATAGAAGTTGAAATGTGAAGTGACATGCCTTGTTGAGCAAACTAAAATCCCTTACTAAATTCCTGCCATACATTCAATAGAATTTTCACCTATCAAAAAAAATCAGGCCATGGTTCATAATCATGAAAATATTCTTCTGAGCTTCAATGCCATAAAGGAGATCATTTTTTGGTGTGTGTTCCCCACTTCGAACTATTCTTTTACAATAAAGAAAGACTCTGAACTTTATCAAACGAAGAAAAATCAACATTCAAATACAACCTTTGAACCGTCTTGTCTGTCATCCACAACAGTGTTCACAACCTGTAAACATAGTCATTTTTATCTGACTTTAATATGCTTCATATAGTACCACAGGTTATTTTGAAACTTACTCTTTGCCTACAGCCGGCAACTTCCACTTCTTAGCAGCATTGTACTTGTTTGACCCAGAGCTATCACTGACAATGAGGTGAGTATTCACTTTCATTTTATCATTCGACTTGCGTACAAAGTGGTCTTGGCAGCTGAATGAAACAAAAAAAGACAAACACATAATGATAAAAAAAAGAAGAAGACAAACAGAAATAGTAGAGGTATAGTAAAGAACGAAGACTTGTCAGAGATACCATGTTAATATATATAGGAATAAGAACAGGAATGTCAAAGACTTGTTGCAAAAGAAGGAAGGTTAAAATCTACCATGAAATGGGGAGTGAAAGCGACAATAGCCTCATAGATCCCTTTAATTATGCTCAAAATTGCAACAGCTGAAATCTTACATTATCTGGAAATGGGTAAAAAACAACAGAAAGTAAGAAACCAGTACGATGCATCAAAAGTTCTACCGCAGACCTTGAGAACAATTCAAGATCATCAAAGAACTAACCAAACGAATAGTGACTCTGCAAATAAAGGATCCACAAACTTGACCAATTTTGTACAAAGCAAACAATTAATTCACACAAACAAGCACCCATTTCGGCATTTGCAGTGCAGCAGCATCTTTTGAGAATGCACATCTTAGCTTAAAGACAAATAACAAAGACCGGTCGTCCAAGGCCAATTAAATATCAACCCAGCAACACAATTACTTACAAGGCACCGAGAGACTGGGCAAGATGAATGATGCACTCCCGCTCCACTCCAACATAACCACTGCAGATGATAAAATCCACAAAATATTTTTGTCTCATAAAATCAAGAATTTTTTTGAGAAAGCAATTGAGGTTTTCAAGCAATCCAAAGTAACAAGAAAGACTGTGCGGAGAAACAAAGTATCTGAGAGTTAACTATACATCTTGACCCCTTTCGCAATATACCTGCACATTTACTCCCAAATTCATAGCAATATTAACCAAGAGTCTTGAAAAATGTTGCAATTACAAAGACTGAGCAAAAAAAGTAATGACAGTAATGGAAACATTGGACTTGGGAGAGTCCACGCTGGGTTTTTTGGTCTTATTTTCTCAATTTTATTTTTTAAATAAAACATGCAAAGTGGGTATCTCTTTTTTAAATGCAGCAGAGGGTGTGTTGAAGCTGCAACACCTCTTAATGCTTTAGCCCAAGTGCTGCAACACCTCTTTACGCTTTAGTCCAAGTGGCTCTAGTGAAAAGTAAAAGTACAACTTTTTCTTACCTCACACTGATGCAGCACCCAGAAAGAGGCTCATTATCAGGTAGCTCAATGGGTCTAGACACCCAGTGTTCGTCATACTCAAGGAATCTATCTGCTTCTATACACATTTGCTGCAAAACACAGACAGAAATTAAAATTCTGAATAAAGCTGACATTTTCTGTTTTTAAATTTCCCAAAACCTCTGTGAGTTTATTTGGAGTAAAAAGAAGCATATTGATATGATAATCATCATTTAAATCAAGGAAAAAGCACAACTGACTAACAGAAACAACTGAGTGAAAGAAAAGAACCTACATGAGGCGGCTTCCAACCACCCGCCCTCCATATGATGCAGTGATATTGCATCACAATTTTTCAGAACAAAGACATTATTTGATATGGGCTCCCTAGTGATAGCAAGAATGAGCAACAAGCCAGCAAAAGGGAGCTTGACTCGACTTATTTTCCTTGTTACAAAACACAATCACTGCACATTTTCATTAGTTATCTCAGGTCTTAACAGACTGGTGTTGGCTTTATATCACAGCATTTAGACAACTGAAATCAATAGAAGTAACCATATCAGCTACTTCTTTGAAAAGCTCTTTAACAGCACTATCAATGCTACAACTTAACCATGTTGCCGCACCACAGAACAACTTCAGGAACTGGAAATGAACCACACAAAAAAAACAAATACCAAACATAATTCGTTCTTTTGATTTATATGTTTTCACCTGACGCTTGAGAATTTAAAAAATAATAGAAACACTGACCACCCTAAATATATACATATATATATATATATCTCGAAATACTCACCAACCAACCATTGGTAAGGATCTCAGACACTGTCACATCCACTGGGAACCCCATCAGTGGCACAATAGCAATGTCTATCACCCTGCGTTTTTTATCTTGAGAGAAAACCCGTCCTGTGAATAAAAACATTAGCCCTTGGTTTTTTAACTCACAGCAAATCATTCAAACCACTCCAAAAAAGCATTTTCTTAAAGACAATTTACATATTTCTACCTATAATCTTAGCATGTTTCCTTCTAAAAAGAATTTTTTGAAAAGAAACAAATAATCAATAAACAAACTAGATACATATTTAACACAGTTGAAAAATATTATAAGGGTGCAGAGAGTGAGGCTACAATGTTCATTTTGTGCTTTAAAAACTTTAGACATAAACAAAATATCACAGGTAACAGTGATTTGAATAAAGAATATCTTTCATAAAAGTCAATGATACACCATCAATGGTTTAGTACAGAGGAGTGCAAAATTTTCAATTTGATGGCCACTTTCATAAAATGGAATAACCATTTGGGCCAGTCTCCGTAAGAAAAAATTTAAGCTGATGACAACTAGTGTACTGAGTTATAATAAAACCAGTTAGTAAAAGCCATACTGACCGGGCCGATGGGTTAAGTTGTAGCCCATGAGCCGCCTGTTGCACACTCCTGAACTAAAACATTCTTATAATTAACATTGCAACTTTACCTCCTTTTGATACAATGAACTCTGTGAGCTGATCTGTTTCTTCTTCCCCAAAGCCAAGAATAATGAATGTTTTGCCTGTAAAGAACCTTTCATCTTGTTCTTCCACTTCTGAAACAAATAAAAAGAACATTAAACAAAAACTATAAAATATACGAATGAAAATTTCATGAAATTAAATCCGTTTTTAATACTTAACCTCAAAATATAAAAAGAAATCTTTTTCTAATATAAATCATTTCATCACAGAAGAACCAATCAATAACTCTGACATCAAAAACAGACAAAACTTGCTCAAAACATATTAAATACTGATGTTGTTATTTCGGTAGCTTTCTAGCATGTGTCCTTCGGTCTTAAGCCATGTAAAAATAAAAAAAAAGGTCTTCGACATTTACACACTTTACATAGAAAGAGTCCTAAAATTAATAGACCTTTTGACAAATATGGTGAGATTCTTATCAATATGAAATATATTGTAATAGCTCTCTTCAGAAGCATTTCAATCTTTAATTCAGTGACAATTTTACATTGCTGCCCACACCGCTCACATAAACACCAATGGGTGCGAGGAAGGATGCTAACCTAGACCTGCATGTGAGCCTCGACCAGATTGTCTGAAAATTTTGCGCAACCCCCCCCCCCCCCAAAGAGCTTTTGTGGGTGTCCTAATGAAGGACTTCCGAATAACGAGCGACCACCCCAACAAACACAACAAAGAAGAGACCTAACCCTACCCCTAGGCCTACCCCAAAAAAGAACTTGCAACGAGCCTCATGTGAAAAGGCCAGCAAAAGTCCAAAATGAAAAACATTTTTAAAATTAAAAAAACACACTCCAAAACAAACAAGGCTTACAAGGAGCATAATGGCCTACATCTACATATTGCTAGACCTATAATAATAGGGTTTGATACAATAACACAATAGATTCTAGAATTGGAATATGAATCCTCCATATAGATCTAGTAAACTAAATAAATCTAGATCTAGATCTAGATCTTGTAGAACAAGTGAATAGGATCTAGGAATATGCCTTGAACTAGAAATCCGCATCAGATTCCGAACAGAGGGGCTCAGCTGAGTCTAGACTTGGTCTAGATTCTAAATAAATAAATAATTCAAGCACCTGATGAAATGCCTTTTACCAACATTAATATTACAGCACAACCTATGATAGGGTTTGACAAAATAGAATTGGAATATGAATCCTCCATTGAGGTCTATAATGATCTATATAAATCTAGATCTAGACCTAGATTCTATTAGAACAAGAGAGTCGGACTGGAATGAATCCACAAGATCTGAACAATTGAATTTGTCAACAAAACGAAATTCAAAATGGCCGCTCGAGCACGAAACTGAAAGTAGATAATTTAGGTCGTCGTCCTTTTTCGTATTCGCATTTCTACTCAGGTTCCGACAATTATGTCGGAAACGCCGACATCGGCAGTCGGCACGAAAACGAAAGTGCCGACAAAGCCGACGGGAGAAAAAGGGGGCGCTGGCAGTCGGCCAGGCCTCGCACTTCGCACATTGACTGACACAGGTGGGCCTAGCGATAGCATCGGCCGCCTCGCGGGTCGCGTCGCGATTGTCGGATTTCAGACGATTGTCGGCAAACATGCAGGTCTACTAACCTTTTATACAAAAGAAACTATTTTATCACTGTTTTCATCCAAGCAAGGTAGCTGGAGAAAACAACCTGCAGGTAATGAAAATATTTTTAAAAGATTAAATACTTTGATCAAACCCAGCAAACGCAAACATTTATGTCACAAGCAGATTACGAGTAAAAGTATACATTTTTAACTGACATACAAAACATACCAGTCGGGTCCTGGGTGAGTTCTTCTTCCATCTCACGATTTGCTCCCACATCATCTTTCTCTTCTCTGTTGGGTTGCTCCTTTTCATTGTTTTCACATCGTCCTTCATCTGGTTCATATTGTGAGATTAAAAACACAAGATAAGACTAACTACAATCAACTCAAATGAACGTGTATGTCATGCCACTTGTCAACGTGAGGTATCGATCACTAAAAGTCACATCCTAAAATCAACATGAAAAAAGTCCAGTGTACAAAGTCAAGACACATGTAACAGAGGTGATGTGAGTCCTGGAGGCCTCTGGCTCAAGCCCTTAAACCCAGTGCCATGGTGAACAAGGGCAATAGTTCTTTATGTGTTGTTCCCTAATGCAGTATAGGCTGTTGTCTAGGTTGATCACTCGCAAATAAAAAAAGATAAAATGAAAAGGGGAAATGACAACACCTTACATTCCCAGATCTTAACTCTAGGGGAATACTTTTTTTTCCACAGAACCCCCTCCCAAGCTCCAGATTGCTCACCAGGTGGCTCCATGTACTGGCTCAGCAGCTCTGCCATCTCAAGGTCACTGGGTGCTTCTTTATTCATGTCATCTGACTTTGAAGTTTCCTTGTTTGCGCTGTCATTTTGTTTTTTACTGATTTGTGGGCTTGGCAACCTTTCTGACTTTGAGCTGGAAGTCTTCCTGCACGAATGATTTGATTAAAATGTTAAATTAAAGAAACAGCAATATTAAAAAAACCCACAAAGTGTTTAAAACATAAAGTACTATGTTCAATAAACCAAAAGAATGGAGAAAATGGAAAGCATTTATGCAAAACAAACAAGTCAACGGACAACAATGCATCTCATTTGGGGTATCTCAATTAGAAATGCAACAGCTATGCTACTCCCTCCCTCTACTTCTCAAGAGCATTCTCCTCTTTTTCTCAATTTGGTCACTGCTCAATTGGGGAAAATCTGGAAAAGTGCTCCATAATGGCTATAGCACGACACCCTCCTCATTTTCCTCAAATGCTTCGATGAAAATAATTCAGAGGGAGAACAAAATAACCATGACTTTTCCAAAGTCATAAAACATCACAGGCAACCTTTGTTAAGCAATCACTAGAATAGTCATGATGTGAACGACTCTAGTATGTCAGCATACCAAGAAAATAGCAAGCTTGCTGAAACCACTGCGATGAAGGATGGGTAGATTGCACACTTCAGGCACCTTTCTCAAAAGAAGGCTACATTTCATTGACATAAATTTTGATGGGACTATAAACTGGCATGACTGGAAACTCAAAAAGCCTTTTGTTGTTAATAAATTGAGTTATTAAAAGCCATATTATAGTGAACACAAAGGAGAAAAGCACTAACACAAACTTCTATCATTTTGTCTTCATTAGAATGCCATATTTTTTGGTGATTTTGGTGGGGGGAAAAATTACTCTTTATACCGGAAAAAAAGGCAGTCTGGACAACCTTGTAATTTTTTTCTCCAAACTACATTTCACAATTAGTCGCTTTTAAGGACAAGCAACCTAACCCAGATTTCGGGAGTTTCCAGAAATGTTGACCAGCACCAAAAGTGGGTATTGCCCTACATATAGGAGAAGTTTGATTTCATTGGTGGTTTCTTTTTTTTTTTGGTAAGTGTTTTACGGCGCTCGCAACTGCATAAGGTCATATGAGCGTGCGGGACACACCTAATACTTTTAGTTGGAAGGAAATTTTGAATTTTGCCCGGGTGGCGGCCGAAGCCTACTCTTATCGATTTTAGACCACCAAGGGATCTTTAACGTGCGCAACTTGCACACGGGCCTTCTGAGATTTTTCGCCCTTGTCCGAGAAGGCTAGGTGTAGATCTTTCCTACCAGAAGACCAGGGGTGTGGCAGAAAGACAGATGTAAGAAGGAGTCAAGGAGTAGCAGTAGAAAGGCTGCAGAAAGAGTCAGGAGCCCAGAGGAGGGGACAAAGGAGGTGAGGGGTGGGGGCAGAAAGAGGAGACGAAAGCAGACGAAAGAATATTGCTAGAGAGCAGGAGAGGAGGTGAAAGGAGACAATTTTAGAGAATAAAATTTTTCGGTCGCTACCCGGATTCGAACCCGGGACCTTTGAACGAGAGACCAACACCTTAACCTCTAGGCCATGAGAGTCCCCTTTCATTGGTGTGTATATTCCTCCTTGTCTTTTAAAGAAACTGAATACGGATCCAAGAACTGTACCTTCGATTTTCTCAAAACAGCATTTTTCGGGATAGCCCCCTTGTGCATAAAAGCGACCAATTGTCAACAATTTACTGGTATCATAAGCTGTCACATTGGAGTCGTATGCAACAAAAGAGAACGCAACACACCAGGCTGTTAATCAATAAACTCAGCCACTAAACCTTTGTCTTTACTTTGCGAGCAATACAGTACCCTTACTAAAAGCTTTCACACAAACATGGGAAATAGTAAAGAGACAACTCACAAAACGCCGACGCCTTGCATGGGCAGTCCTAGATCTTCTCTCAAATACACTCTCTCAGTTAAATGTGCTCGTTGACGAAAGCAGTCCAAAAGCCAGTCTGTTCTGACGACAAAAGGGCTGAAAATAATGCAAGAGATGAAAAAGATAAAATCAAGACTGTCATGAATGTCACAAAGGCAAACTTCGTTAATCTTTTGTCTGAAACAAGAACACAGTTGTAACGTGAACAACATTGTTTAGGATGGAAATCAACAATATTCCAGAACACAAGATAATTATTTGTTCAAATATTAAAATAACATCTCATATTAATCAATGAGTTATATATGAACAGACGGACGGACAGACAGATGGACAGAAAGTAACCACCTGGAACCGTAATTGAAAAAAACAAAAACAACCTTAGACAAGATCATACACAGGAATTTAGTTGTGAGCAGTGAAGAGATATCTTGAAATTAGATGAAAGAAACCCAAAATACATATTTACTTTCAAAATATAAAGATCAGAGATGAGGCCATCAACCAGGGGCTGGATGTGACAAAGCTGAAGGTAAAGGAAGTGGCCATGAACAAAAAAGCGTGGCGTTGACTGCTCTGTCTTGGGTACCCGACGATACAGTGAGAAAGTAAGTAACAAGCATAGTGACACACATCATATCTCAATTTAGCTGCATTCAAGAACATAGGCCTCTGTCTTTAATGCCTGAGAGATAAAGTGGTATATACAGCCTAAACAATCCTTTCAAACTGAAGACCGAGTGAAGTAAACATAAGCCCAACCCTTATTATAGAAGTAAGACATATCAATACTGATAAGAACAGATACATAATTTACAGTGAGTTGAAACTATAAAATTACAATTCTCCAATTCTTAAACGAATGGTACATAAACAAACTAGGGTACAATACTCGGACATATCAAGTAAAAACACTTCCTTACCATTCAGACATTTTATTGAGTTGCAAAATATCAGCTGAAACAAGTTCCCCCATCACCACATGTGTCACACTTTCCGAAAGTTCTGTCGTCCTGAATATTACCAAGAGAAGGAAAAAAACTACGAGACATGATCAAATTCAAATATGGAAAGCATACAGCAATGACTGAATATTGAAAGCTTCACCGTTACATCTTTGTTATGCTACACAACAGCTCTTTTTCCCATGCTTGCACAATCTCCTGACAATGTTGTTTAGTTGTAAACAGAGATTTTGATCGTGGTTACCAGCATTTTCTCCCCGAAAAGAGCTTTGGGTCATCTTTACTTTGTGCTCAGTTTTCAGAGACAAAATCTGGTTGTACAGTGATATATGAAATATTCAAGGAACTATAGTGTTTTGCACAAATAAATGGGCATTAAAAACATGTAATCACAACTAGCTATTTGTAAATAAATTCTACTATTTGAAAGAAGTTTAATATTTTTTCAGTAGTATTCTTCGAAAATTTTGTACAATAAAAACAACACATTCGTGCTTAAAATTTAAGACAAATAACTAAATAGAGACACTGCAAAACACACAATCCAAATAAAATAGAAAAGAATCAGAAATATATTGTAGAAGAAGTAAACGTCGACACTGCATTGAAATTTCACATCAAACTGGAAAAACAAACAAGTGGTTTCTTACACAGCAACCTTGTTCCATCGTCAGGAACCCAAACTTTCGCAGACATGGTCTAGTTCTTAACTAACTGCTGTAGAAAGAGATTACATGAACAGAAAGCATTGAGTAAACTGACTCAATACTGAGAATAATCAAACGAACAGCCTTTCATAAGTTTTGTTTTATGCTTACCTCAAGCCACCTCCTGAAATCACAATCTTCCTAAGTTTCTCTTCCAAAGCAGGTCGCAAGCCACTGAAGTATATCTAGTAACATACAAAAGTCAGAATAAGAAAAACTTGTTATATTCTAAATGCTAATGATTAAACAGTCAAAATCTCAATGGAAAAACATGCCCCAATATAAAGCCATAAGTCATAATACTACGCAAAGGGGCTCTAGGCAACATAATATTGTCTGCTTTCTTATACTACATATCTTCATTATAAAAACTACTTCAGCCTTAGATCGCTCTTGTAAAGACAATATGTAAGTCACTAAAGTCTCATTTGAGACCTAATTTACCTACCAAAAGGTAAAGTTGCCCCATACCCCGCTTTTAATTAAAAACCTGGGTGACCAAGGTAGAAATACGTCTTTCAGACCTGCTTTTTGCTGATAATCCACTTTTTACACAATGGCATTTGAATACTTAAATGAACAGGTAATGAAAGAAACTTGACTGATCTTGACTTGCTGATGACAACTTTCAATACTGTTCTAGCAAAAATTTCAGTAGAAACCTTATGCACAACTCCATGTGAAAAGAAGTAAGTGAGACAATCTCTCATTACCTTACAGTCATCCAAAAAAACATCAGCTGCAGTGACAGTGATATCCCCATCTGCGGTAGTATCATCTATTCTTGTCTCTGCCACTGTACGAGCAGACTGATTTTGCAACCTCATCACAGTCATATCTGATGTTTCGTCTGCCTGGTGGAATGTCGAACTGTTCCCCCCAGATGTGATGGCACTGACGTCAGATATGTGAGGACCTATCACTGTGCAGAAACAATACATCATATATACTGTTCACGTGTTAGAAAACACAGCCCATCATCTCATTAAGTAAAATGCATTCAACAGCAAAGTATGCTTACTTCACTACCATCAAACTTTACCTCAGATAAAATGTTAACAATCAAAAACAAACACAGCTTCTTTTAAAAAGTTCAGGGCTTTTTCGCTAGAAATAGACCATTACAAAACTGAACTTGGAGTAAAAGAACAAAACCTTAGAAGTTAGCAAGCTTCATAATAAAAGTTTGTGTCTTTTGCATGTGTGCAACACCCTACTTACCGCAAGCATGTAATTTCAAAGATGGGGCACTTCACCCAACAGATATTGACAAAATATTAAGAGGATGAAAGAACACAGACACAATACACCAAAGTACACAGCTCACATATTTAAGCATAGATACTCATGTACGCTTTTCCACCATTAGAGTAGCTATTGTGCAGTGGATCTATTTATTATCCCATGATCACTAGGAGAACCAACTGGCAAATGCAAAAAGCAGTGGATCTATTTATTATCCCATGATCACTAGGAGAACTAAACTGGCAAATACAAAAAATCTTGAAATCAAAACACATTCTGAGAGAGCCCAGCCCTGAATTATCTACGTATGTCCATCAGCAACAGCACTGAATAAATATCAAGAAATTAAACTGACTTCTTTCACCAACCAGGAACAGGGGAACATAATGATGCCTTTCACCCATAGGAAACAAGAATAGAATGATGCATATTTTCTAGATTCTAGGCGAACGTCTCCAGCTCAGAGGTTGACATGAAATGACCAACTGATGCTTATGTTCGCTAGCTGCTGTCATGCACTCTGTCATATTTAGGCCAGTCCATGCCTTGGATGTTATTCGTTCAAATTGTTGGCTGTCCACCCTTAGCCCTTTTGCACATCTTACCTTTGAGTATTTCCTTCACAAAGGTCTGGTCATGTTTTATAAGACGAAAGTATATGTTTCTATTTTCCATTTTGTTAAGCAGTGTTTGTCTTGTGTGGAGCATCTAAAAACACCCCTTTGTTAGTCTCTTTTGCTTTCAAGCTAATTCTGACCATTCTGTGGTAGCACCCCATCTCAAATGGAATGCATATTAAGAGGTCATGTCAAAAGGTAAAAAATCAAGTTTTTTGTTAACTGCAAACAGTTCTCAGTTGCATGCAGCTCAGAAAATACTCACTTTTATGAAGGGGTAAAATATTGTTCAATCAATCTGACCGAATAATAAAACACCAAACAGGCTACAAATAAATACCAACATGAAGAAAAAACCCTGGAAATAATAATATATACTAATAATAGAGAGCATTTGCATAGAACAAATCTCCGCTCACCAGCAAGCTCTATGTGCTGCTCAAACCTCTAAACCCACAACCTCACGATTACGAGTCTAGCAGCCTAACCACTAGCCTACTGCACCCTTCCCATTAGCTGACTCTTATCTCAAAAGTTAACGTCAGAATATATTACCTGAACGTCGTTCTGGTGTGGATGTTTTCACATTTCTGCCAGGCACATTTTTTCCACATTGATAAGGCTCAGGGTCAAGGTATCTCTTTTTGTCCATGCAGTCATAGACCCATTTGTCATGAAGAATTCTGATCTTCCAGTTTTTTGCTGCCTCATATTTAGCTCCTAAACAAAAATGGTGAACATGAATAATAACACTGCTTTCACAGTACAAAATGAAACCATGAACACAAGAGTTGGTATAGAATAAGTCTTACAGAAACAAGCCACATAATCAGCAAAGACTCCCATTGCTAAAACTTACACTTTTATGGAAGAATAAGAACATGAGCATAAGAGTAAAAAGATATCAGCTGAGTCAGAAAACAGAACAGAAATAGAAAACGTGGGCAATGATATGAAAATTCAAGGTTTTATGTTTGTTAACAATTCTTTAAGGTTCTTTTCAAGATAAATTTGTGCACCGTTGAGTCAAAAAGTTACTATAATCACAAACTAAGGGGTCAAATTAAATAATTTGGTTTTTACCTTTCGCTTCTTTCACAACAAGATGAGTGCACTCATTCATCTTTAGTTCTCCCGAATATTTTCCACCTGAAAAAAATATGCATTACAATGAAAAAAGCACTATACATTGACATCTCACAGATAAATGCAACAACTCAATTCCTAATAATTTATAAGTAGGCTACTTTCAGTCCTCTTAAAAATATTCACATAGATGAGCAAGTAAACTTGTGGATTTTTAAGATAAATTTTGGCATCTCTGTTGTATCAACCAATTCCATGAGTAGTGGGTTTCTGTTTACACTTGTTTCAACCTGGATTAGTTGCTGCAAACTAAGATGCAAAACAGGCAAAGCAAATGCACAAAACAGAAAGGGCAAACAAAATCCTGAAAAACAATTTAACTTTTCTTTCAATTTGCATTATACATCAGCAAACTGTGCTGACAGGATTTGGAATCAATTTGTACAAAATTCAAAACTACTTATACACATTCCTCATTATTTTCTACTCTCAAGTACAGTCAATGGTAACAGTTTGACTGACACAATAGATTTCAAAACAAAGGCTTATCAACAACTACTACAACGTGCTCACCTCCACGAGTCACAAAACTTTTCAGCTGATTGCGTTCACTGCTGCTGAATCCAGACACAACCACGGTGAGGCCTAAAAATGCGGGACACTTGTACTTGTCAAAGCAGTCATCTGTGGCCACAATGTGCCTGAAATTCATGATGGCATGAGAGAATATAATTGATCAGAGAAGAAAAGAACAGCCAAAAGTAGTTCTGAAGGGAATGAAACCGTACTTCCCACACAGTGTGAAAGTCATTATCGAAACTTAATTTATGAAAATGGAGTCTGTGCACTCTACCTGCACACTGACCAACAGACACACAGAACTGATTGAACATTACTATTAAAAAACAAAATACTGTACACAGTTGTCTTACTTGAGCTTTTTTTTTGTTGAGAAAAGTAGAAAACAACACTTGAGAACAATTTAATTTCTTGTGCTCACTTTCATTTGACACAAAGTCAAGACCTGACACAAGTAGTAAAACCACTGCTTATTGTTAGTAGCAAAACTAAAGGGGCAAAACCGTATTGAAGTTGTTAGAGGACTGTACAGTCCCCTAGCGCTACCCACTCGGGGACTGTGCAGGCCCCTAGCACTATTATTTCATTCAGAAACAAGCAATATTGAGCTTAAATAGGGTTGTTTCAAAGGTAGTCATGGCTTTTCACCCGCTTTGTTATGATCATATGGACATGGACGTTTAACTGAGATTTTTTTTATTGGGTATGAACTATGGTATTTCAACTAACAATAAAGACATAATGAAAAGTTAATTTAATACAAATTTATCTATGACAAGAAAATTTTCCAAAATTTAAGAAAGTTTCCTAAAACAATATAATTAAAGTAGTAAGCATACCTGTCCTGAGCCATTTCCCATACTTTAAAAACCCAGTCTTTGACCATGACCTGTTTTTCATTGTCTAAAGCAACCTGAAAAGCATCAAAAAATCAAAGGCCAAGATTAAAATAAGTAAAGGAATTCAAAATATGATGTAATTGTTAAAATATGGTGTATGGTCTAAACTAAAATGTAAAAAGGCATTAAAATATTTCACCATTTTTAAAAGGCTGTAATTGCTAGAACAGACCATTCTTTCACATTTCTACTCTTTTTCTCAGAGAGCCATAGTGGGGCTAGTATGCAGTCAACATAACTAAAGGGCTTTCTACATCATAAATTTAATGCCCTAGTTTCTAAGGCGTACACATGATCATAAACTGGTGCAAAAAGAAGTATCCACCAAGACCTAGAAAGATCACAATATTGATCCAGGGAAACCCTTCCTATAAATAACATCAATAACCTTGCATATTTCACAATTAACTCTTGGTATAGGCCTTGCCAGTTCAGCTGGCTCACGGTACCACTCACTTATTTACATTTATAACAAAGATCTACCAAACCTGAGCAAATTCATCTTATTTATAATCAATTTACTTTATGTAACAGGATAATTTGGAGCGAAGTGATAAGGAAGTTTGTGAAGCTGAAAACTTGGATTACAAAGCTGGTTGCGTTCTAAGAAAGAATAGCCTTTTTTTTTTTTCTTTTTTTTTTTAAAAGAGGTTTTACGGCGCTCGCAACTGCATAAGGTCATATGAGCGCCAGAAGACTAGAGCTGTTACAAGACAGTGACAAACATAAAAAGAAAAAAGGGAGATAAGGACTATAGATGTTTGATAGGAAAGAAGAAGCAAACCACATCAGAGCACCCACCAACCACCCACGGAATAGCCTTCCATACCCTAAGAGTTAACAACAACAAAAAACACAACATATACTTGTGACTAAGAGTTGACAAAAGAAACAACACACCATACACATGTGACTAAATGTAAACAAAAGAAACAATACACCATATAGGCCTACTTGTGACTAAGTGTTGACAAAGGAAACAACACACCATATAGGCCTACTTGTGACTAAGAGTTGACAAAGGAAACAACACACCATATAGGCCTACTTGTGACTAAGAGTTGACAAAGGAAACAACACACCATATACTTGTGACTAAATTCAAACAAAAGAAACAACTCACCATATACTTGTGACTGCCAACTTCTCCAGCAACAACATGAGTCACATCTTTGGTCAAATTACAATCTATGTCTCCTGCCATCAAATGAACTTTTTTCGTGATTTCTTCCTGTTAAAGGCAACAAATAATGGACGAGATGACACGACAGTCAGAAATAACATCTAATCTGAAATATATATTTGGTCAAAAAGAATTCAAACAAATTTCTCTTATACAGTAGTCTCCGCCTAAGATCCCACCGCTTACAATCCCGGTTCGCTTAAGATCCCGCTGTTTTAAGAAAACAGAATTTTTACTATGTAAAAGTCACCCCTAAGATCCCGCTCTGATTCACTCTGAAGGTCTACATTCGGCTAAGATCCCGCATTTCAGGTCATAATTTGCGGAACAAAAACCCGGGCGGGACAGCCAATCAACCAAGAGTGAAAAGTTGAGATCAATAAACTGTCAGTCGCGTCAAAGATCAGCCACTATCGTGAATGTGGTCACATACACGTTGTAAAACTCGATGAAGCAATACAATGTTTGCCCCAGACGGGATCACACCGGGGTGTGAACTGACCGACATGTTTGTTTTCCCCGAACATCGCACTCACACCCGAGCTCTCCCCCTAAACTTACATCACTCGCTGGGTGGGCAGGGCCTACACGTTCGCTCCAGGCGGGATCACATCGAACTGTGAACTCTTCCCTGACCATTGCAGAAGTTGTCTCTACTCCCAAATTTGCGAGACAGACTGAATTTTAATTGGTGTGTTCACAACGTAATGGTGTGTAACGACAAAGGTAGTTGGGGGGGGGGACTCGGTCAGAGATGGAAGGCTATACATTTTCGACAGGCAAGGGGGACGGGCAACTGGATACGCGTAGATCTTGAGACTCATGATAAGATAAAAAGTGAAAATGGCACGCCTCATCCCACTATGCACCGTGATAGGTCATCAAGGTTAACCACTCTTTGCTCGCCATACGTCATAAACCCACCAAGCGGTCACGTCAGTTCATTTTAGAGTGGAGGGAGACCATTTTTACCTATTGTGAGCCTTAGCATGGGTCACCATAGATTCTTCCCTGAGTTCGTCGGTTAAGATCCCGGTTCGCCTAAGATCCCGCATTTCCTTTCTCCCGAGCACCGGGATCTTAGGCGGAGACTACTGTATATAAGTAGGCCTATCCTTCTGAACAGCTTAAAATATCAAAACAGCACTATGTGATAAATCACCTCTTCTTTTTTATACAACCTTCTCTTCCTTTTTTGTCAAGCTCCATCATATCTGTCTGAGCTTTTTTAACACAGTATTTTTCATCCCGTCAGTTATGGCCATCCACAGACACCAAAAAGTTCAGAGCCCCTTGAATGAAATTAAGATCTTTTGGTGAGAGAAATTTCTCATTTTTTGGCCCTGAAATTTAGAACTACTTGCCCCAGGGCCTCAGAGAATTTTTAAAAATCCGAATAAGTTTAAGTGATTTCTCAAGACTACAGGTTTAGTTAATCTCACCATTCAGTGTCAATGTGTTCTGCGTTTACAGAAAAAAACCACATAAACTTAAAAGTTACCCGAGCAGCTTTGTCAATGGAAGTACAACAGATCTTGACTCCCTTCATTGCCAAATTGTACACAGGCCCCATTTTGCTTCTTGGAAGCTCCTGAAAAGACAATTCCAGTCAAGCAAATGCAAATAACATGCTACAACTTACATGTGACAAGCAGTTTCCTTTATTCCTTACAAAGGATGCAAACCTCAAATTTCAAATTAATAATAAAAATTTCAATTATAGTAAAAATCATAATTAAAAACATTTAGAGAGAAAGGAAATAAGTGATCTACAGAAATCTTTTATCTCAATATTTAATTTTTTAGTTTGCTAATAAGCACTTGGTTTTTACAACTGTCAACAATTAAGTTGTCTTTCTACTATTTTCAGTTTATCGACATCCAGCATGTTACTGATGTTTGTTTCAGTTCAGAGAAGCACACTGACACGTCGTTTACTGTGGGGACAAAAGCAATATAGCAGACACAAACAATAGGAAAAGAACACAAGTAAGACCTCCAGGGGGCACCCTCCAACCACTGGTACATATTACTGAAAACAGGTAAAAGAAATACAAAATATCTTGTACAGCTTCTTCATGCCTAACCCAAAATTTGATGCTTACTACGCCATGAGCCAGGCAGGACAAAATGCAGCGAGGTCCATAAATTCTGAAACAAAGGAGAACAGTCTCTGTGATAAAAGTCTAAATCAGCACACATATTCAAAACGAGAGATAGCAGTCTATACAGTAGTGATGCAGTTCACAAAGTATTTGTTTTAAAGGAAGAGACCTAGAAGAGGTACTCCAGACATCAAATCAAGACAGCATTCAGATCTTTAGAAAATTCACTTGAACCATTCAATATATCAGACACAACTTGTAAAATATTCTCATTCAGCATTCTACTCTTAAATTTTCGTTTGGTTACAATCCTGCTAAAGTAGGCACACAGAATACTCATTTCAATATTTCTAGACGATATTTTTATTTAGAAATGAGAACTGTAAATTAAAAAACATAACAGACCAACCTGTATCCATGGCGCTTCAAACATTCAAACGCTGGCCCAGAAAATGGATCACATATGTAGATCTGCTTCCCTTTACCATCTACTTTCAAGCACTCTTCTTGAGTGGTCCAGTAAGGTTTGAAATTGTGTGTGCTTTCTTTGAGCCCCTTCAAATTGAGAAAGAACATTTTTTTTTATCCACAATAGCAATACCACTTTGTTTTATAAAATAATATACTGTCTTTGTTCCTCTCTACAGATGCGCCAATCTTTAATACAAGAAGAAAAAGAATATTAAATAAAACGCATTTGAGAAACAATGCAACAAGTTACAAGATTTTGACATCCAAACTTTCCATGAGATGGATTTGACACTTCCCCTAATTCATTTTTTGCCAGATAATATTCACAAGAAAAAAATAGGTGTACTTTCCTGTCAGATGTAAGAGATCACCTGTACTGCTAACAGAGCGCAAAGATGGGAATTATTGCAACATCTTCAGTGAACAGTTCATCTCTATTCCTTTTTTTTTCCTTAAAAAAAAAACACTCTTTCTTCAGTTGACCTAAGAGCATTAGGCATACAAAGAAGAAGCTGTTGACCCTCAAAAATTAAGCAGAGATAAGACATACAACAAAATTTAAGCCTACATATCAAAAAAGCAATGACAGCGCATTTATATTCTCTTTGTTCCCCTGACAAGGTCAGTCATAATTTTGCTTGGGAAATGAATTTACCTTGGTGTAGAGACTATGTCATTATGTAATTCCTTAATGGAAGAGACTACCCTTAAAACAAATGTCCTGATGGAAACCAAATAGTGAAATTACACATTTTATGTGTCTTGTAGGGTATCACGAGCAAAGGAAATGAAAACGTCCTTATTTAAAGAGAACACTGACATCACACGGAACAAAAAAGACAACTGAAATAATTATGAAAACATTAAACACAACTTAAACACAAAATACAAAACAAGGTGTAAGTATGAAAAATACCTCAAAAGCTTCTGATAAAGTAGAGCTGTTCTCCTCATCATCAGAAGGTTTCACAAATATCACTTCAAATTCTTCAGCCATACTGTTGAGTTCTGGAGCAAAATAAAAGTTTATACATGAGCAAAACGTAAAATTTTTAAAACAAAACAAAAATCTTCGTTGACTAGTACTAGTACCCAACTCATGATACATCAGGTATTGAAATTTTTTTCTTCTTCAGCATCCCGCCTGAGCTCAGGGGATGACTGAATGCAAGCACTTCATCATACAATATTACATACAGTGCAGTTTAATTTATTAAATTTTTACATACACATAGGGGTGTTTTATCTAACATATAGATATTTCTTGCCTGACACTACAGGCAACCACGTTCCATTTCGAAGGCATTCCTGATTCCGTCCATTCGGCCGCTGACAGCGGCTCTGAGTTTCTCTGCTGCATCCATTCGACCGCTGTCAGCGGCTCTGAGTTTTTCCGCTGCATCCATTCGACCGCTGTCAGCGGCTCAATGAAATCCGAAAAAAATGTGCACTTTTTAACATAGTTCCTACTTTTTAAGTTGTCGAAAGGAAGAAGAACTTATAAACAAACTTGACCTCAATCTCTGAGCGCCAATATCGATCGAAACTCTGTGAAATTCTTGCAAAAATCGTTGTTTTGTTGTCGCTATGTAGGCTAGATCTAAGGGTAAATAACACGGAGCCTGGTATAAGAAAAAGGCCCTTCAAAGAAAGATATTCAACTAAATTTGTGAAATTCTTGATGAGTGCTGGGGTGATATCGCTACAATTTTGAGTTATTTCCTATGGATTATAAGGACTTGTAGAGCTGAGAATATGCGGTAAGTCGAAATTTTCGAAGATGTGTTGCGCAATTTTTTTTCCTCATTCGTTTTTGTCTGACGGAAAATACAATACAAACAGATCATAGGTCATTGTTATTGATATAAACAGATTCCTCTATTGAATCCCATCACTTTGGTATATGACAATACCTATTAGAGTAACTAAGAGCTTCACAGTAATGCATTAAATAGATGCACCCCAGGTCTAAAACAAAAAGGAAAAATAATTCTGTCCAGAGCCTGAAAAAATCTTGGAAGGAATCAGTTAATACTTATACTAAGACTGACTAGAATAGATAAAAATGAGAATGTTACAGTGGAGTCTTGGAATAAAAACAGCCTGTTGTAGAGTAAACAGCATCGAAGATGCTGCAAGTGAAAATGGAAAAGAAAAACATACTTCTACTTCAGTGAAAGAAGATCATCAAACCAAGGTCTCCTACCTTTTCTAGTATTGGAATTTTGGCTCAGTACATTTTAAACAGCTGGCCACTGATATTATTGACTAGTAATTGGTGTTCTAGAAAATCTCAAACCTAATTACAAATTTTCAGATTATGGGGAAACACGGGGGGGGGGGGGGGGGGGGGACATAATTTGGCTACATATAGGCCTCTTCTATCAATAAAAAGGAAAAATTCATGTAGAACGGATCATATGTAAATGACTATCTGTTAACCTCAGGCTACAGATCGCATTATTACACTGTGCTCACTCATATTCACGATGTGTGAGTATGATGAAAGAGGCATGTGTGTTAGTGTGTGTGTATGTGTGTGTGTGTGTGTGTGTGTGTGTGTGAGTGTGTGTGAGTGTGTGTGAGTGTGCGTGAGCGCGCAAGCACGATAATTTCTTTTACCGTATCTTTCAAGTCTTCTTTTTTTTCCAGTGAAGTTCATATGATTCATATATGAATATATATAGGTCTACTTGGATACATTTATGTAAAGCGCCTGTGTGCACACGGGAGCAGGCACTAGATGTATCTTATAGACAAGGCCTGGCGTGTAAAAATTATTTCTACTTTCATTATTTTTATTTTTTTAAAGTGTGTTAGCAGTCAGCTAGGGGCCAATCTGACAAGCACCACACCAGACAAGCCAGGGAGTGAATAATAAACAGGACACAACAGAGATAGTATAGTACTAGTAAGTCTATAGTATAGATTAGATAAGATAAGATAAGATAAGATAAGATACATCTTTATTGTCCAGATCCTGGCACATTGGTTTGGTGTTCCACCACGAGTACACACACATACACACGCGCACACACACACACACACACACACACACACAAAAAAACACACGTACACACATGCACACACAAGTAGGCTTACAATCACATGCATAATATAAATGAGCAGCAATATAAACAATAATAATCATAAGCTAGATACACACTCAATGTTATTTTGATGCATGCTCTAAGGTCGTAAGTATACTTATACACAAGATGGTTAAGATGGAAGCATTTTGATAGATGATCTAGATCTAGTCATAAATCTATAGTGAATAATGCCAATAGAAAATCCAGAATAGGAGTTTTTAGTTTTAGTAAGAGTTTTACAGCACTTGCAACACAATAAGGTCATACAAGCGCCGGTGACAGAGAGCTGGTGAAGGGGTGTTGCAATCTTCCAGTTCCATTGAATATGGTACTTAAAACCTCCATGAATAAACTGCTTTTGGGAATGCAATGTTTTCGACTATTACAGGCATCACCAAGCTTATACTTATTGGTAAATCAATTCATAAACCAAGTTGGTTAACCTCATCGGGAGCATGTACGAAGGGACAAGTTGCAGGGTTATACATGACGGTCAGGTCACAGACAGCTTTGACATCAAGACCGGTGTGAGACAGGGATGTTTACTATCACATTTCCTCTTTATCTTGGCAATTGACTGGCTGATGCAGGAAACCATCAGAGGACACAGAAACGATATACAGTGGACCCCATGGACATAGTTGGACGATCTGGACTTTGCAGATGACTTGGCGCTTCTGTCACACACTCAGGAACAGAAGCAAGCAAAGACAACAATTTAAACAGCTTATCAGAGTCTGTTGGATTGAGGATTCACTCCGGAAAGTCGAAAGTGCTAAGAATATATGCACTACGAAAGGAGCAGGTCACTGTACAAGGAAATGCACTAGAAGACTTAGAATCCTTCTGCTATCTTGGGAGTACAATTGACAGAGAGGGAGGAAGAGGGGCTGAAATAAAGTCCCGCATTGGAAAGGCACAGACAGCTTTTATATATTTGAAAAGGATTTGGAGGACCAGGGATATCCGAACAAAGCTTAGAATTTTCAACTCAAATGTAAAGTCAGTCTTGTTGTATGGATGTGAGATGTGGAATGCGTCCCAGGCGTGCATAAAGAGGATCCAGGTTTTCTTAAACAAGTGTCTGACTTTTCTGTACATCGATTTCTGTGATTCTTCTCCAGGTTTCACGCGGTCTTCCCCTTGATCTCTTACCCTGTGGGTTCCAATCCAAAACTTTCTTTGTTATGCAGCTGACTGACTTCCTGAGCCTCCCAGAATACAATACTTGTTCCCCCGAGCTGAGCTGCTTCTGTCCAGACTGTATCCAGTGTATTTCGCTGACTCCTAGTATGTGCAGCCTATATTTCTTCCTCTCTTACTACTTGAAGAGAACTCTCACTTCCTTACATGCGACTATACGTAAAACGACGCGGCCATCTTGTGTGATGTCAAACAGGGATACACCTCCAATCACGTGACTACATCTAAATTTATATAGCCGACTGCATGGCACCAAAGATCGTGTGTAAAAAATCTTTGATGGCACGACACTGAGTGCGATATTTTTACAGGAATACCAGTAATGTGATATGATGTGGTGCTCCGATGATGCTGCTGCTTCTCTTCTGCGCATCGTTTATCGCTCCTGGGGGAGGGGGTAATCTTCCAGCGTTTTTACGGCAATTTTCGCACGTTTTATTGTCTTTGCGTTAACTGTGTTTCAAATTCAAGAATCACTAGATTCTACCGGAATTCCGAAATGTTATTATATTAACATTACACCAGAAACCTTATAACCAATCAGTAGAGCATGGCTGACGGGCTGTTGTTAGCCGTAAGTGTGAAATTATACTGTGCGAAACACATTGATACAGATAAAATACATCAAGCCACTGACCCAACATGTCGTTCCATTCAGTATCTCTACTACACGATCTTTGGTATCTCCGAGGCCTTCTAAAAATAGTCTGTGGGTATCTCACAGATGACATCACATTACTAAAATAAGCCTCCAATCAGACAGGGGCGTCGTTCTATGTTTAGCCGCATGTCTCTTCCTTCCAACTAGATCGAGACTAAGGAAGTGGCTATCCTCACCCCGGGTGGGAATAAAAATATGATCGACCTCTCACCCCGGGTGGGACTTGCCAGCGTTAGCTATTCTCACCTTGTGTGAAATAAGATTTGTTTTTTCTAACTTCGCAATACTGTCTATCCGTGTGGATGATCAAATAGACAAAATACAGAAAAAATTACATTATTTATAATAGCACATTAAAGTACGCTAATTTGGTCGTCTACCAAGATGCTCTACGGCTATTTCACTTTTCGAATCGAGCCGAACTATGCGGGTCGCCATATTGTTTTGCCCGGAAGTTCTCGCAAGATCTACTCCTTCTCTCTTTCTTCTTTCTTTCTGAATACTGTCTATCGGTGTGGACGATCAAATTGACAAAAACAAAGATAAAAATTGATGTAAAAACACAAATAGTAAATTAATTAATTTGGTCGTCTACAAAGATGCTACTACTGTTATTTCACTTTTCGAATCGAGCCGAACTACGCAGGTCGTCATTTTGTTTCACCCGGAAGTTCTCATGCTACTCCTCTCTCTCTCTATGACCATGTGTCTCTCTCTCTCTTTCTCCCATTCTCTCTCACTGCTTAGACAAAATTGCACGCTTTCAACACAAGAGCGCTGGAACTTTTGTTTACTGTGAACGCTACACTGGTTGGCCTATTCACTATCATGATGATGGCACACTGGGTAAGAATAGCCAAAAGGCTCGCCTGCTTTAGAGGTGACCTAGATCTAGATTCTAGATCTAGTCTAGATATCTAGATCTAGATCCTAGACTAAAAAAGTAAAACCACTAATTAATCACTACTCGATCTAGATATCTAGATCTAGATCTATATATTAGATCTAGATCTAGATCTATACCCTAGGTCTAGATATCTAATCTAGATCTAACTTTTTAAAAGGCTAAAAGGCCACCTCTATTCTCACCCGGGGTGAGAATAGCGCAGGCGAGTCTTTTGGCTATTCTCACCCGATGGGCGTTCACCGTTATAGCCTATATACGGTCCGTAGCCTATATCTAGGCCAATCAATTTTGCGTTCACCCTAAACCACAGAATTCTACACTGTGATAACAGAAAAATTGTAGAATTCTGTGCCGTGAACAAACGTTCCATTACTACTGTGGAGAGAGAAAGAGAGAGAGAGAGGAGTAGCGCGAGAACTTCCGGACAAAAATGGCGACCCGCGTAGTTCGGCTCGATTCGAAAAGTTAAATAGCCGTAGCATCTTTGTATACGACCAAATTAATTTACTTTTACTTTTGTGTTTTAACATCATTTTTTAACTTTGATTTGGTCAATTTGATCGTCCACACCGATAGACAGTAGCCTATTCAAAAAGAGACAGAGAGAGAAGAGGGGAGGAGTAGATCTTGCGAGAACTTCCGGGCAAAACAAAATGGCGACCCCCGTAGTTCGGCTCGATTCGAAAAGTGAAATAGCCATAGCATCTTTGTAGTCGATACAATTAGCTTACTTTTTTGTGCTAAAACGTAATCTTTTCTTTGCCTTTATCCATTTGATCATCCACATTGATTGATAGAAAGTATTCCGAAATTAGGAAACACAGGTTTTGTTTTACACCGGGTGAGAATAGCCTACGGCCTACGGTGGCAAGTCTCACCCGGGGTGAGAGGTCGATCGTATTCTATTCTCACCCCGGAGCCACTTCCTTTTAAAAAGGGCCACCTCTATTCTCACCCGGGGTGAGAATAGTGCAGGCGAGTCTTTTGGCTATTCTCACCCGGTGCACGTTCATCGTTATAGCCCAGATCTAGGCCAACAAATTTTGCGTTCACCCTAAACCACAGAATTCTACACTGTGATTATAACAGAAAAATTGTAGAATTCTGTGCTGTGAACAAACGTTCCATTACAACTGTACTTGTAGCCTAGATCTACTAAAAGCGTACAATTTTGTCTGTGGGCAGTGGAGAGAGAGAGAGTGAGAGAGAGAAAGAGAGAGAACAAAACAAAATGGTGACCCGCGTAGTTCGGCTCGATTCGAAAAGTTAAATAGCCGTGCCGTAGCATCTTTGTAGACAACCAAATTAATTTACTTTTGTGTTTTAACATCATTTTTTAACTTTGTTATGGTCAATTTGATCGTCCACACCGATAGACAGTATTCAGAAAGAGACAGAGAGAGAGAGAAGAGGGGAGGAGTAGATCTTGCGAGAACTTCCGGGCGGGTGAGAATAGCCACTTTCTTTAATTTAAAAAGCCTGATACTGATTCACTGATTCATCAAAATCAATGATCCATTGTTTGGAATTGGAAGATTTGGCTGTCAATAAATTGATTGGAGAGGAGTGTCAGTTTCAGTCAACAGTCAGAGTCAGTCAGTGGGTTCTTTTGACAGTCAGTAGAAGATCTAAAAGTAGGAAATAAATAAAAGTCAGCAGTCAGCAGTAAAGTAGCCTCTCTAACTCTAAAAACAGCAGTCAAAGTAGGAAACTTACTTGGGCTGGGGCAACAACAACTCTTCATTAATCTATTATAACTGCTAAGTGGCCCCTCTTGTGTGGCTTTGAAATACTTACTTGATGACAATTTCGTTGCTCTGTATATTTCTAAAGGGGGGAAAGGGCCGAATGAGATATTTTTGCCAAAATAAGCATTATGAAAAGAGACAATTTTGTGTTCTTCGAGAAACTAGAATCCTTTGCAAGTGGCGCCTGTGCCAACTTCCTGTTTTGATTCTTTTTTTAGCTCGCGATATGCCAGATTGCGTTTACTTCACAAAAGAGCTCAAAAGTCTGTGTTTATTACACATTGATATGCATTTAAGTCCAAGTTGATGTATGCTACTTTTTTTATGATGACAGAACTAGAGCCTATTAGGTGTACATTTTAATTACATGCAAAATTGATGGCAAGCATACTACAGCAATGAAATATAGATAAGCATGAGCTAAAGTTAGCTTCAATGAAACGGATGAATTCAGAAAAACAGAAATATTTCAATGATAACCAAAATAAGGGTTTTACAATATTATTTATAAGGTTGTCAGTTGTCAGTCACCCCTTTCTTCTTTTCGGCTGTGACTGTGAATGCCGGACAGTGAACTTAAATTATCTCTCAGTATAAAAAAAAAGGAATTATGCAAAATGAGCTTAGCCCAAGGACCTTAGGCCTAGAATAACTTATTTATAAACCTCCTTGGCACGTAAAATAACATTTCTACACGGGATATCTGCATCAAAGTGGGTTAATCCGTTATGCCATCTAAATCTGACCTGGTAGCAGTTTCGAAGTACAGGTACGGGAACAATTTCAAAGAAAAAAGTACAGTGGAACTCGGATTCAACGAGGTCGCCGGGACTGACCTAAAATCTCGTTGAATCCGAGTGTTCGTTATAGCAAACATGAGGTTGTGCAGATAATTACAGGCACTATAAGCAAGTAATGTAAAAAAGAGACGTCACAAGTAGTGCATGAAATGTCTGCAGTCTGCATATTATTATGAGCAGTGGGAAAAAGACCCGATTCGTCCAAATGCACACGCCACAGTCATTTCGATGGTGTTACCAAAAAGTTGCGTTGCTGTGTAGCCTAGAGCCTAACGTAAAGCAACTTTTGATTCCATAGACCAGTGGACAATTCATTATATAGATCTACGTCAAGACTAGTTTATCAATGTAATAGTGATCAGTTGCCGAGAAGGAAAAAAAGACTGTGACGCCTTTGTATCTGCGACGTTCAACGCCCGGACCGCTAGTGCCCCCTCCCCCCCGACACGCACACACAGCCACACGTGTGCAGGCTGCCCATCCGACCCAACCCCAAAACACCTCAGAGTAGACACGTGCGCTGGTTGACAACGCTTGTGTTGGTAGGAAAAGAGACCGCTGATTTGTCGTATGCAAGAGTTTCAAGTGATGTGTCTATCGAAAACCATTTCTATAGTGGTTGACCCCCCCCCCCCCCCCCCCACCCCTAGCCCCTCCCACAAATGAACTGACCACTTACGAACCATGTTATGTGAGATTAGTGGCCCTTCTGTTTACATAGTCGATAACGATGGACGTCAACATAAACTTGCGATAGAAGTGTCGCTCGTTCGCCGAATAGTGGCTGCCCATTCGTTTGTTTACTCTCACATCCTTTAAAAAAAATTTGCTCACCACCTCCCGGGGCATTTCTTTTCAAACACTCACAGACTCAACAGGTGTTTTTACACGCCCCCATTGACACAATTTATACCATTTAGAATAAATTAGAAGGCGAGCTTCAACCCAGCCTGTCGGGGCCAAACCAGGCTGAGAGGCCACAACATCCCTGAAGAATGACCAAGATTCTCAATAAAAATTCTTCCCACTCGGAAATAGAGCACGGGTCTCCTGCGTGCGACAGCGAAGCGCACCGCTACTCTACAGACACCAGTAGAACCGCCTTAATGGACACATAATACGTATATTGCTCTAATATAATAGGTCTATACTGTTGAATACAAATAACATCACAAGACGAGACAGGCAGAGAAATGAAGAAGTAAGAGCAGTTATCGGCACTGAGTCCTGCCTGCGTTACGTAGAAAGACAGATGATAAAATGGTTTGGCCACCTGTTACGCATGTCACCTGACCAGCCTGCCTTGAGACCCTACAACACCAAGAACTCAGGCTATAAAGGAAGAGGAAGGCCACGCAAAATAGGTGGATCGAGGGTGTCGAAGAAACCCAAAAAAACCCCATAAAATCACTACTGAAAGAGCTGCAGAGCTGGCCTACCATAGAAAACTGCATCTCCCCTCGACGCTTAACGGCAACAGAGGATGAAAAAGTACAAGTAAAAGTAAAGTATACAGTTGAATTAGAAACTTTCCATTTGAAAAAAAAAGCATGAACATGTAGACCTATTGTGATTATTATTAACATAGAAAAACGAAACCTGACACAAACAAGATTTCAAAGTATTTTTAAAAAAGTGTATAACCTTTTGTTTCTTGGTCATGGTTCATTATGGTGAATATACGATGGTGTTTGAACACAAATTAATACCCATTGGTTTCACGCCAGCAACCGGTATGGCCGCCCCTTGCAGTGATGCAGAATTGGTATTTTATGCGCGATGATCGAGTTTGTGTTTGTATTTACAGTTCTGGTACGAGTAGGTTCCACCTTTGCACCAGTGCTTGTCCCATTCGTTGTAGGCCTACAGTGTTTGTGTCGTTTCAGGTGCTCACTCTTCAGCCTAAGCGATCCCATGGGTGCTCTATGAGTTACGTGTTTTCTGAGTCGGCTAGCCATGGCGAAACATTCACATTTTGCTGCTATAGACACTGCATGTCAACACGGGGTGAGTACTGTCTTGCTGGGATGTATGCATTCGTCTATGCGTTTTGAGAGAAGGGAAACACGTACACCCGTAGAAAATTCAGGTACTCATTTACATTTACTGTAGCGTTGAAATTGTACAGCTGGGTTCTGAGGATGAAAAATATTCTACCCCACACAATAACACTGCCACAGCCCCATCTATTTCATGTAAGAAGTAATCTGCTGGTCTTCTTCTTGACGTCTCCAAACTATCGTGCGGCCGTCAGTGTGACTCAAGCAAAAGATCTCCATTCCAATTCCAATGGTGAGCAGGATGTCGAATGTGATGGTTTGCCCAGCTCAAGAGTAACGGTCATTGGAAAGGTGGCAAACGTTGACCATTACAGGGCCGCCTTGGCCGAAGTAGGAACGCTCGCTGCTGTCGTATCGTCCTACTAACTGTCGCTTGTAACTCTTTCCAGTGTCAGTATAAAATCAAACGGTCAGAGCAGGTCGTTGTTGGAAAGCTATCCCAAACTCTTTTGGAGAGTAGTGACCGGTGGACTGCCTCGTCTTGATCTCTATCTGAAGATTGCGTTAATATTTTATATTTTTGAAGAGCTCACAAGAATGATACAATGCCAGGTATCAAACCCAAAGTTCACATAGATCTAGTACGTTTAATTTATTTCATATTTTTAAAAAAATCACCACCGTCTTTATTCTTTTACTCACTTCAAGGAACATTCATATTTTCAAAAGTGTAAAAATATTTTTAACAAAATAAAAAAAAATAAAAATTTAATGTATGAAACTGAAGAGCCCAAAAGAAAGATACCAAGCCAGGTATCAAACTCACGATTAATCTTAAGATTGCGCAGATCGGTAAATTGCGTGGAACATATACATACACAAGCAGACAATAAAAGCTGATTAATACTCGATCTTATAATAAACAGACGAACAGAGACAGATACACGAAAACACATCGAGAGACGGACGAACAGACACAAATTCACACAAACATGTTGAGGCACGAATTAAAGCACACACACACACACACACGTATGCACACACACACACGCGCACACACATACACTGACATACATACGCACGACACACGCACATACAGACCGACACACACACTCTCTCTCTCTCTCTCTCTCTCACACACACACACACACACACACACACACACACACACACACACACACACACAGAGACAGCCCCGAACTTTTCAGTAACGGTCCTCGACCTTCTAGATCTAGATCTATAAACAACAACAACAAACAAACAAAAACAACCATAACAAATAAAACGTTTCAGTTTCAATTAATGAGCTTTACGGCAGTCCTGAACCCCAGCGACCATCTTCGGTTGGTAGGCTACATCATGAGAATCATAATCATAATTATGGTTTGTTTACTTTATATTTCCCCCTGTATTATACCATACCAGACGTCCACGTGTCTAAGACTAGATCTAAGATCAACACGTTTTTTCGACCATGGGTGGGTGGCTGTCTTGGACAATTTCGATTGTTTTATGACACGTTGGACAGATTTAATTCATAATTTTATGGTTCACTGACTTGGGTGAAGCGTAGGGTGTTGCATAATTTTTGTTTTGTATTGCGCGTAAGAACACATCGACCTTGCGTCAGGTGTCACATCGCCTCAAGGAATTACTGTAACCTCCTTGTTGATCTACCGCCTTTATCAAGGGTATCAGTATCACCCCCTCCCGTCAGGTTATGATATTTATATAGATCAATCCAAACCAGAATGGAGTTCGGAGGGAAATTAAAAGCGAGGTATTTATAATGACAAGGCTCAAAGAGATAATTTCCCCTCTTTGATGAAGCCTCATTACAAAAGTTCTCATGGTGGGCGGGCCCAGACAGGCGGTGTTCTGCTTTTTAGGCTGTTGGGCCTACAAACTTGGCCTTAAAAAACAAACGCACAGCTGTGAGTCATGATCACGGTTGGACTTTGAACCCTACGTCATCAACAAGGCTTTGCTGACGGATAGGCCTACGGTGTTTTTGTCGGCGCTGAATTGCGTGACAATTAGGGCGAGTGACAGTATCAGTTTTCATTTGGCAGTTAGCTGTAGAGCATCTTGTTGTTCTCTTCGGTACACTTTCCGAGTTTTATTGGGTTCTTTTATCTATTGCTTGTATTTGATTCGACGCGTTTGTGACAAGCACATAGAAATCTAGATCTACACTTGGCTTGGATCTCTCTAACTGTTGGAATCTCTGCGTTTTGGGAGACGCCCGCGGTATCTCTCGTTTACGAGGTAGGTTTTAGGTTACGAAAAGTCAATATTAGATCTCCAGTCTAGAATCTAATGTTATTCATAAGGCCTAAAAAAAGGTGGAACTATGGCTAAGATTGAAGAATACGTGCGAACCAGCGGACTGATTTTGCCTGCTCTCTCAACTTCAACGTTAGAGGAATTCAAGATTTTCCCCAGTTTTTATGATCTCTCTCAATGGAGAATCTCGACCAGTAGATCTATTCATTCAATCATTCATTAATTCATTAGAAATTTGTCCCGAGGGAGACCCCCCTGAAACACCCCCCCTCCACCTCAACCACCCGCCCCACCCTCCCCACTTTCTCGCGCTTTAATGTGTGTATAGATCACGAGTGGTCCCGAAATATGATCCTTGAGACAACACCAGGACTGGAGTCTCCTAATTGATATTATTTCAGTACAATTTGTATTTTTACTTTTAGGCCTAGATATCTAGATAGATCTAAAAATCTAGATCTAGAATCTAGATCTATGGTTTCTTTTTAGTTTTATTATTTTAAGGGAGTTCGTTTTTTACATTTTCTGTTGCCCAACTTACAATACACTACAGACTTTAAATTATGGCCACCTCTATTCTCACCCGGAGTGAGAATAGTGCAGGCGAGTCTTGTGGCTATTCTCACCCGGTGCGCGTTCACCAAATTTTGCGTTCACCCTAAACCACAGAATTCTACACTGTGATAACAGAAAAATTGAAGAATTCTGTGCCGTGAACAAACGTTCCATTACAACTGTAGCCTACTAAAAGCGTACAATTTTGTCTGTGGGCAGTGGAGAGAGAGAGAGAGAAAGAGAGAGAGGAGTAGCGCGAGAATTTCCGGGCAAAACAAAATGACGACCCGCGTAGTTCGGCTCGATTCGAAAAGTTAAATAGCCGTAGCGTCTTTGTAGACAACCTAATTAATTTACTTTTGTGTTTTAACATCATTTTTTAACTTTGTTTTGGTCAATTTGATCGTCCACATCGATAGACAGTATTCAGAAAGAGACAGAGAGAGAGAGAAGAGGGGAGGAGTTGATCTTGCGAGAACTTCCGGGCGGGTGAGAATAGCCACTTTCTTAAATTATTTTTTAGCATGTCATGTAGGCAGGCCTATTAAAGGCAATTGAATTGCCATTGCCGTTATTGCTTCTAAACTCCTGCACTGTCCATCAGGAATAATTAAATCTAGATCTTTACCGAACGCCGAAAGAAACGCAAGTAAGCAACAAAAGAAATGCATGTATTTCTGGTGGAGAAAAGGTTATTTTTATTGAAATTGTTTAACAGTTGTGTGATTTTTTAAGATGTTTTTATGTTCGAAAAATGTGATTTTCAGTCAGCATGGACGAACATCTTCGGTTGGTATTTTTTTATCGACTCATTTATGTCACACAGTAATCTTAAAAACAGGGATGCACAAAACATGCATTATAGTCCATTTGGCACAGTTCAATATAGTTGAACTTGTGTAAGAAGGAATCGCAAGGGAGTCAGAAAGAAAATTCCGTCTTAGACATTTTTCGTCTTAGACAGGGGAATTTAGGGGGAGATGGAGAGGGGGGGGGGTTCAAAGGGCCAGCTGGTGGGGTCAGAGATCGCTTGTCTGATCCTCAAGCAGTGGTCAAAACTTGACTTCTCTCTTCTCGCACTTGCTATCCTGTCTGATAATATGACTTTTTATTAAATCCAATTACCACCAGTGCTTGCTTTTCATAGGACCACTGTTTGACCTATTAAAAACAGAAACGTTTGAACATCTCCTTTGCTTCTACCCATCAGTGTTACAAGCACAGTCAACCAATGCCACCCCTCACTGTCATCATGTAGCAACCATTCGAGAAACTCTTTTCCGGGCTGTCGGTACGATCCGGGCAGCAGGCATTGGTCAATCTAATTTCACACCTCTCTGGCTTCTGGCTACCCAGGAAAGTTTCCGTAGTGGCTGGCTACTCAAGCACTCTCACGGGCAGTCGTGAGATTTCACACCCACACCACCCTGATCATCTGCATGGCTCAGGGCTCACATGATGGGGTAACATTTATCCCCAAATTGCACCCCCACTCCCTTTCCTCGCCCAACGGCATGGCCATGGCGTTAAGTTTAGAGCCGGCGGAACCAAGTTTTGTTTCAAATCAGGGCAAAGTATTTTCTGTCTTCTGACAGGTGATACCCTTGGAAGGGAGCGGATTTTTCTTTCCGTTTCCGCGTTGGACAGGTTTCCATTTTATACAGGTAATTAAAGAGGGATATCAAGGGGGGAGCGTGGAGATTCCGTTAAGACAGGTTTCCGTTTTTATACAGGTTTCCGTAAGGCAGGTTGGACTGTATCTTGTTTGCCCTCCTTGGGCATCAACAACAGCTCGACACCTTCTGGGCATAGAGTTCATCAGTCTGTTGACGGTAGCCAGCTAGATGTTGCCCCACGCCTGTTGAATGTTCTGCAAACTTATGTGCCACAGTGAATGTTGTTTAGTTGTCGCTGGCGATGGTCCCATAAGTATTGCATTTGGTCAAGGTCAGGGCGGAGTGCTGGTCATTGGAACACTCTAATGTTGTTCTGCTGCAGGAATGCCACAGTTGCCTGTACAGTGTGCGGGCGCGCGTTGTCGTGCTGGAACACCAAGTGGTGGTATTGCTGGACGTAGGGGAGGACAGCTGGCCTAAGCACCATGTTGATGTAACATTGGGCATTAATTCCATTTCCACGCCCGCGTCCGAGGTTTCGGAAGACGACAGGGCCGACCAGGTGATTCAGTCCAATGGCATCCCAAGTGATGACACTAAGGCCACCCTAGGCGTTGACTTCCATCATGTTGAGGTCTGTGTAGAGTTCACCGTTCCTCCTCCAGATTCTGACTCTTCCATTCGCGTTGCTGATGCAGAATCGACTCTTGTCACAGAAGAGAATGTTTCTCTATTGCCTCCATGTCCAATGAAGCCGATGCTGGGCCCAGGCTAACCTCTGTTGTCTGTGGCGGATAGTGAGGGCTGGGCCGACGGCACCAGAGTCCTCGGGTCTGAAGTCGCCGATGCATGGTCTGGCCGGATATCGTTCGTCCATGGCTTCCAATTGTCCCCCTTGCTGTTTTGGTATAATCGGTTGATCTTGGCGTGCAGATGTGACCCATAGTCTTCCGCTTCAGGCCAAGTCTTGGGTGCTGCCAGTTGTTTGAAAATGTGTCCACAGCCTACAAACTGTTGAAAGGGATACATGAAATGCGATAGCGACGTCAGTACGGCTGTCCCCAGCTTGTAAACGTCCAATGGCTCTCTCTCGATCTGCAGCGCTCAGTCGTGGCATCGTCTTGGCGGTCAACTGCTTCATTGGCCAAAGCATAGCGGTGTGTCTTTTTATACCCTGATATGCCATGAACACTACTCACAAAAAAAATTCACTTACCTCTGTTTTCAATCACACGGGGCTAAAAGCACAAACTTTTTATTGACCGACTTTCGTGAGCTTAAGGTGAGTACTTTTTACTCAGCACACACAGACTACACTCAGGAGACCTAAACACCTTAGGGGCGTGTACTAATTTTTATCTGAAAAATATCTTTCAATATATTTTAGGGTGAAAAGCGACCAACCTAATGACTTGCGTTTCTTTGGGTGTTCAGTATATTATCTTTTACTTTTTGTGACAGCATTTTAAAGCAGGCCAAAACACATGAAAGGGGGCGAAGCTTGGCTAGACATGTCATGATAAAGTATAAAATAAGGAAAAGAGTTGACATGGGTAACTGCGAGGCAGTCTTTTTTTGTAATATTATTATGAGCAGTTTAATTGCACTTTTTGACAGAGGCAAATACCACAGCCAAAGAATAAATGCCTTTCCAATGGATCAGGGGTCCATCTCTATTATTGTATTGAAAGGTGAAACGTGTGAAATTATCAATTTATAAAATGAAAAAAAAACGACATCAAAATGTCTCCTAAATTGCACTTTAGCAAGGTTAGAAATACAATATTTCTAAATCTCAGAAAAGCCTGCCATGGTTTTTCTGCCTGTATAGGTTTTGAGTACAGTTATTGATTAAGTTAACATGAAATATGGGAGTACTTATGTTCTATTTCCAGAAAAAACATACTGTGCCAGAATGCCTATGGAGGAAACTTTCGTTAATCGTTTGGGAGAAATTCCAGTCCTCAATGATAGTTGGACTACAGCATGGGGATGCTATGCTCGCATCAAAGACATGAATCGTGTCACCAAGTTCACGCTGGAGACTGCAGAGTCCAGTGTGAAGACGGCTGCAAAGATGTCTGCTCCAGTGGTGACTCGTTGTCAGCCCCAGAGTAAGTTGTTTCACAGAGAGATGTATTATTTAACTCTTGGCTTCCTTTAAGCTCCAAAAGATCAGCCAAATTTACACTCAGAAGTATAGTATTCCATAATGGTAAAATGATTGGAAAGAATGCATCTGACTCGCAGTTTAATATTTGTTTTTAATACTTACACTTTTTACTTTCAATATTTTCAAGGAGAGTATCTGAGGAGAGTAGTTCAACCAGGAGAAAGTATTTTGTATTTCAGAAAACTGTTGTAAAATCTTTTTCAATTTTACTATTACTTTGTAATTGTAATTCTTTACAGTTATGTGTTTGGGTGAAATTTGTTATAACTCTTCTCTGTGAAATAGTCTGATTCTTCAATTTAAATTTGAAATTGTATATTTATAAGTTTAATGCCCCTTGCAATGCTGTAAGGCTATTAAGTTGCAGGACCTCCAAATTTAATGCCCCATCTCCAATAGAAGTGATGGGACCTAGCCAAGTGAAAAAAAGTCCTGTAAAGTGCCTTTCCCAAGAACTGAACATTGGACAGATCGGAACTTTGAATTTCCTAAACCAGTGCCAATCTTACGATTATGAATCTAGTAGCTTAACCACCAGACTACTGATTCCAGTCTGATTAAGATGCTCATTATAGCTACTTGATTTTCAGAATCATTGTTGTTACTATTGTAGTCATTCACGGTTAATTTTAATTAATATTCTCTTATTTTTTTCTATTCCAGTTGAAACTCTCAACTCATTTGCTTGTACCAAACTGGATGAGCTTGAAAATAAATATCCTAGCATAATGCTTCCATCTGAAGAGGTAAGACACATACAATCGAAATTGTCCAAGATGGCCACCCATTGTCAAGGAGAAAAGTGGTTGTCTTAGACAGGTGGACATCTTGGATAGTTCACTATAAATTTATTTTAAAAATGCCAGGGGGGAAATGGGAAGTGGTCAGGGGCGGCTCGTGGGTCTCAAAAGTGGGCGTGCACAATTAAGCTATCGCAGATTGAAGATAGTCAAGGGCATAGTAAATGGGATGGTGTATAATTTTAATATCTTTGGGTTGGTGAGGATATTATAATGCTTTTACTTTTATTCTTTTTCTTTGTCGCTTTGATTCCTAAAGCTACATATTTTTGTTGTTGTTACCTAAAAATCAATTCCGTTCATCTTGCATTGTAATAACACTTTCACCACTCCACTAAAACACCATTCAACCGCACAACTCAACAGATGTTGAATTAACTCTGCGCTCACCTCATTTATGTTTGACAAGTTCATGGTCACAGAGTCGGTGCAAGACCTAAATTTAAAAATAGTGGCAAGACAATGAAGTAATCACAATTCATTTGAGCACTCCGCTGGATTGCCCTGGGGCTCACATTTTATGGGCATATAGTGAACAGTCTGAGATTGTGTTTATTTTGGCACTGCTTACTGTGGGCTTTGTTTCGACAAGAGCACATTTAAGATGTGCCATCTTATTAATATTAGTTAACGTACACCGCCAAACTCGCCTCAAGTGTTGTCATGGCTTGGGTTAACCCAACGAGCTATTTATAGGTCAGACTACCACTGCTAAACGACATGTTTAGTTAAAGCGCTTAGACTTTGGCATGGCATAGTTATAGTAGATGTTTTACAGTGCTAAAGGCACAGTAATGGTTGTTAAGGCGCCAGCGAGGACCTTGTATTGATAAATATTTGGGTAATACTTGTTGCGGGCTTCTTTTATTTTCTGTTTGTAAGTGCTTTGCAAAATAGAATATTAAAAAAGTTTGGGCGGTACTGCTCGACCGTGCTCTATGGACGAACCGTCCCTGGAAGTGGTCGTTTGTGCAAGTAATTGTCTTGGACAAGTGGCCTTTAGAGCAGATTTGACTGTTGTATCATGTATACTCTGTTTTACTAATCTAAGTTAGATTTAATATCATGATACTCTTTATTTTACACTGGTTTCGGTTGTTTTTTTTCCTAATTTGTTTTTTTAATGCTTAGAATTGACTATGTTTTGGTGAACTTTTAATCTAGGAATGGTTTGTCCAACTTCTGTAGTCTTATTAGCTCCTCTCAAATACTCATTGCCAGGGGCGAAGCGTCTATATAATCAAATAATCACTGCTTCCCTTTCTAATTTTGAAACATTGTCGCTGTCAAATTCATCCTTAAACGTAAACCTCATAAATTAAATGTCAAAAGACGTTCGTAATCAACAAATAAAGTGAGGCTGGAATAGAGTTGAAGGGAACATGTGCATGGCAGTCAAAGCTGTTTCATTGCCACATATACCCTGTTCACCCCTTTGGGGCCACAGTTAAAATCAATCACCAGCCCTGATTAAGTAAGCTAACTAACACTGGTCGAGTCTACCTCACAAATGTGAGGGGAACTAACTCTTAATAATCTCTTGACTGCTGCCTGTGCTTGTTTTTTTTCCTCGACTTTTTACCGTCCTATAATCAGATCGTGACCTCGATTATGACACCAGCTCCTGGCCGCGAAAGGCTAACAAAAACAGCCAAATGTGAAATTTAAAAAATAATAATTGTCATGTTCTACCAAAGAGTTAGACTCACTGGTAGATCTATAACATATAGATCTAGTACTGAAATCTCTGCTTCTTTGCTTTATGTTTATGTATTCACATCTAAAGTTAAGTTTAATTTTAGTGGGAACTGATATTTAATAAGATACTTTCCCGATTATTTTGGCGGTTGAACATACAATATGAATTCCGGATTTGTTTTCATTCACAACTCAGAGTCGCCGCCTCGAGTAAGATTCTTGTGTGATATCTACAGGCCCTATCTGGTCCCATTTCACTTTGATTACCCTGTCAAACAAGTCAGCCTTCGCCCCTGCTCATTGCTGCTTGCTCTTCTCCTTTTAATAGTGGTCTGAAAGGGTGTCCTTTGTGCATGGCTAAATTGGGCTTCAAAGTTTCAATAAAGAAAGTTGAGCCTGAATTGAATGTCAGATGTTAGCTTTAGCTAGTATTTTTTTGTTTGTATTTTACGTTTCACTGATGGCCGGTTGGTAGAGACTTGAGATTTTATTCTGTCTACTATTTTTCTTTGTTTTTATTGTCCTTATCTGCATCCTTGTGAAATGTTTCCTTCCTTCTCAGATGTTAAGAAAATTATTGTTTTTCTCAAGACAATGCTATTGCTTGCCACACACTGCACTTAAAAAATATTCACAGGTGAAAGATGCTTGTCTGGAATATGTACAACCAGTGCTTGGTTGTGTGAAGCCAGTAGTGAGCTGTGTTCAAGGTGTGGTGGATGACAGCAAGAGAAAAGTATGTCGCTGTTTGTATGAAAACTCAACTTTTTGTTAAATTGATGTCATGAAACACCATATTATGCTAGTTTTTTTTCTGTTATACTTTTCTTCAATTGGAAAAAAGTACTTGTTTGTGTACATAATTTCATACTTATTTTTATGAATTCTCAAAGCAATATATGTGTACTACTGATTTTTGTTAGCCATTCTCATAAGATCATTAACTCATGCTTAGTGAATTCTTTATCATTTTGATTTAGAGGGCACTGCAAATGTTCTCTTTACAGTAGTTTTTCTCTGTTTGTATATAGGTAAACTACATCACGTCTCAAGGCACCCGACTTGTTGTGGGAGCTCGTGACCTTGGTGTGGGCACCGTGACAGGGGCTGTGAATATGACCCTGGCCTCGCCCCCAGGGCGCCTGGCAACCCGCACTTTCGATGGCGCACTGACCATTGCAGATGGACTGGTGGACAAATATATTCCTGAAATTATTGAGGCTGAGCAGGAAATTGGTGAGTTTGTGTGAATACAGTAGTCTCCGCCTAAACGCACGCCATACAAAAGCACGCTCTGCTCAAACGCCCGCTTTCGTCATCTGACGAGTTTTTTACTATATAATTAAGACGTACAAACGCATGGTCACTCCCTCTAAACGTACGCTCCGATCTGCGAAATACGCAGACAGTTAAAGCTTGACAAAGGGATATTTTCACTACAACCTGCAGAGCCTGCGTTAGTAAGACAAGCTTAGAAAATTGGTGAGCGTGCCCCTCTTGCCGAACAAAGAGAGTGATGGACAGCGTTTTCACATCCAACTTTCCACTGACACATAGATCTAGATCTAGAGATCTAGGACTGGTCAGTGAAAAGTTTGGGGGGGGGG